TATTTGCGCGTTTTTTTATGGTTGAACTACTATGGACCAAGTGAAGAGTTCGACCATTAGTGTATGCTAAGTTAGGGGAGCCAGCCAGTTCCTTTCTTCATGTACATCTTTCTGCATAAACATGCAAATTCCTGATTACGTAGTAGATATCACCAACTCTGGACCTACTTTAACCATACTAATTTAATTTCAGCACCAAAATACAGCACGATGTAAGCATGATTTACAAGTTCTGACACACCTCATCTTCATGGGACGTCACAAGCACGTGTTTTGATAAAAAATCAAAAGATAATTTAAATAGAAATTTAGACTAGTAACTAGGTTTTGCTATTAACGAATTTCGTCGCGCCAGATCTATCAGATCAGAAGATTCGGGAAGATTGGGTGAATCATGCTGTCAAATTCTCACTGCGCTTTACTTATTCTGTAATCACCAGTTCATAGGTTAACCGAAACCAGTTTGCCTCGTACATTATTGAAGTAATGTGGCGATGATGCACACGACAATCATAAGTCTCAAGGCATTTCATTTACTAAGAGTATGAGTGCTTACAAAAGTACTAAATAGACTGAAAACTTTGCGACTTACAGTGACGCAAATAGGGGTGAATAAGTCGCTTGAATGTCACAATCATTGTGATAGAGGGAGATGAGCGTACGCAAAGTTGAAAAACGCTTTGTGTATGTGTTGTACATGAACAGAAAAGTTAAAACAACTAGATATGCTGCTAACCTACATTGGAAGGAATGCACTGGCTAGCACTTTCATTCCTTTAACAAGAATTCGATTCAAATTCCACATCTTAAAATTTAAGTATTAATTTTGATCCAGCTACGTCAGACTGGTTATAAATAACTATTATAGACCTTTATATGCCGCAAGTTTTGAGCGCTCTTTTGACTCATTCATATCTTCCATCGTAAGTGTGAATCGGGAATTGTATTGGTACGAGAAAGTTTTTCAAAGGCAAACAATTGGATCAGGAGTAAAGGCTTGTATGATTATTGCACCCTATAGAAAAGAGCTTCTCATATATCACCATTGCTCACGTAAGATCGGCCAATTTTACGTTAGAACCTCAGTATTTCTGCATGAATATAGATAGTTTTAGGTAAAAGATGTGAGCAGTTTTTCATAGTAGACATAAGAGGCAATTGCAAGACCTGTTTAACTGATTCTCGATGCAGTGAATTGCTTAAGGTATAAGAATAGAGTGCCGCGTCACAGTGTGTACCTGTCAGGAGTGTGTTGAAATGCCCAATGTTAGCAGACTCAAAATGTGCCTTTGTCTAAAAGTATCAGGTTAATTCATATCTCGTAAGTTTGCTACTTTTTAGAAACTTTGCAACTGTTAATCGAGAGAATGTGCGTGATAATCGGGATTTGGCGTAACTATAAGTGTCTAATTTCGATTGCTGACATTGAGCCAAGCACAAGTTGTAGTTTAGTTCTTCCCAAAAGAAGGAATTCAAGCATTCTTCTTCATTTTATCAAGCTTAGTTTTGAAACGATCTCGCCATGTTTGTCAAAATGCGCTAGGTTCAAGACCCTAGATGTAAACGTGGATGCAATATAACTCTTGGCTTCCGTAATCTTGTAAAACAATTTTTTAAACAAGTCAAACTTTGCCAATATTATATCAGCCATTCATTTTCACGTTGAAATTTTCTTCAGATCTTTCTTGAATCAACGCTTCTCAAGCACATTGAACTCGCCTCTTATTTTGGGTTGAATGGAAATTGAAAGGCCTAATACTCAATCTATCTTGCCTTCTTTTAACTCAGTGGCGGAAATTTGGAGACTGTAATTAGAACACGGTTACCCCACCACGCCTTCATTTTCCATCGCTACGGGAGAGGAGAAGAAGGAGAAGGAGAAGGAGAAGAAGGAGAAGGCGGGTGCTTAATCACACAATAGTCATCAAAGCATGCAGAAAGAGTTACTTAAGGCAAGGCCGCTCCGTGCCAAAATAGTGGAATTCGTGTATAAAAATAGTCTCAACCTGTAGTAGTTTTGCCTTACGCAAAGTTTTTAGTCCTCAAGTGCTCTTATTTAAACTTAAATTTAATCGTTTCTTGTGTCGAGTAACATTTTTTGTAAAATACTTGTAATTTACTTTAGTTTTAAACCCATAAAAACCTTAGTTTATACTTAAATTCACAGTAAAATTTCAAAAATATCGACTTTAATTTCTATGAAAAGTGAAGAATATTCTAAACAAATATATGTTTCATAGGGTAAAAAACGGCCAGAAGTTCTTCTAAACAAAATTTACTTCGTTTGAGATGCAGATGCCACAGTAGCTAAGTCGCTCTGTAACAATTGTTTCAATGCGTAAGGCTAGTGCGTTATCCCTCTATCAAGTGACTCACAGTAGGCTCGTAGTTTTCCCGATATGGAGAACATTTCAATTCATCTGCAAAGGTCTCGGACAAATTACCACCTTTCATCCTGCTGCAATGCGTTGGTTGTTCATTTAACTCTCGGTTTTGGTAAAGGGATACCCCGTGTCTTGATCGCCGTACCTTCGCCGGGTGGGCTGGCTTCTGGGCCCTGTTAGTAGCCTTAAACCCTACTGTGTGTTAAATGTATATATTCTGCTCCAGTGTCATGTCTTCTGTCGTTTGCTGATGAATACAATAAATAGTTGAGCTTCAACGCCCAGGTAGAAAATTTGCGAAACTTCTCAGCTTACACCTATGCAGTGGCATTCTTCCAGCTTACAGCACAGATTTAATTTTGAGATTTGGGCGAAAATTATTTTTTTTTAGGCTCTTGCAAAAGACTGGCTTACTATGAAGACGACCGCCTGCAGGCTTTGAATGCACCTTCTCTGGTGCGCGGAAAATGCGGATTTCGCCTACGATAGAGCGTGTAGACTCCTGCTACTTGATGGACCACTTTATTTGCACACGAAATTTAGTGTCCGAGGTCTTGCGTTTAGAGAAGTTGTTATAATCTTATTTCTGTTTGGGCTTCTACTGATCTGCTGCTAAGTGGTAGCACTTTGTCCAGCATCGGCTACGTCAATAGGACGTAATAGTTCAATAACCCCAAATGGCGCAGTATTGGGCGGTTGACAGTCACTCTTCTCTAGCAATGCAATCCAGCTTCCCATTTTACCCTGACGATGGGAGGCATAAAACCTAACGTCACAAACCAATGCATTTTACGTAGGATTCTATACACACAAGTGCACGTGGACGTGGCGTGTACACGGTATTGAACAGCAGAGCACCTAGGAAACCCTTAAGACCATTAAATGGGGGTCGCACTAATGCTCATAGTAAATGCGGAGTCATTTTGCCTTTTGTCTGTTCTCCTTACGAGTGGTCAGTAGATGTTCATATCACCAAAGTTGAAGGCCTTTAATTATGTGTGGAAATTCGAAACTACATGAATAATGTGCACAAGGAATTTCATGTCCAACGTTTAAAGTTTAGGCATAATCATGATAGCACCAGATTATATTATGAGGTGCATCCCAAACCGGCCTTCTAAAAACAACTGACAACTGAAGTTGCTAAAAACCCTGAAAATTAGCAATAGTCTTTCATCGAAACAGTCTCTAACTAATATGTCCGGATGCTGTGCGGCAGGAGGGGATTTACACTTTCCTCCTTAACAATCAGTTGCCAAATCTTGTGCATTATGCAACAATAGATATAAATCATTGATGTAATATGTTTTCCATTCACTTGAAAATTTTGTATGGTGATATGTTGGATAACATATACGCGCATAAAAAAGTACCCGATGCGAAGACCCAATGAAATGGGTAAAGTAACCTATAACTTCGGCAACTCCCACAAATGTGTGTTCTATGAGCATGCTTTTAATGATCCTAGCGTCACCAGACTAGGATAATTTGAGGAGTTTACAGGAGAGCTGTTCACAGTACTCATATATGGATATTAATCACATGAACAAAATGTATCCCCTCTACATCTCAAGTCATTGAATGGAACCCAGAGAGATAAAAGGTAGAGCGGCAACGAAATAAAATAAAGTGGTGAGGAGGAAGAAGCGGAGAAACAACTTCAAATGACCGTGTTTTTGGACTGGTTTTCCTACAAATGTCAATCACTTATGAAGTTAATTTATTGTGGAGCACTTTCCAGACTTGGCAAGCACGAAACCAATGAATGCTCCCCTTCCCCAAAGCCGTTTACAAATATTAAAAACGCATAAGATACAACGATGTTGTCGAAAGTTGCCACATACAAAGAGGTCGAAAGTTTTCCCGCCTACGTGAAAAAGTCGGTGTCTAGCGTTCCTGACTCATGGGCGGCTCTTAAAGCACCGATTGCATTATAATGGCCAAAACACAAGAACTCTTAAAGAGAAGGACAGGAGCGATACTTAAAAGGAGAAAAAACTATGTGGTAACTTGAGATTTTGTTTAACTGTAAGCTAAATTGCGCGGGTTCTTCAGGCTTTGCAGGTTGTGCCTTTCTGCGATCTGGCCCTTTGGCCGTGTCCATAGCCTTGCACTCTTTCCTCCTCAGTTCTAAAAATCGTATCGCAACTTTAGAGAAGGTTGAGAGATCTGCATTATTGACTACGCAAAGGTCAAAATAAAAACTCACAATAGGGTGTTTGGAAACTAAATCGGGGATAACTGCTTTTTGCTGTATTACTCCACCACTTAAAGACCTTGCCACGAAAACTGGCCCTTATTATTTCCTTGAAATAGAGTAGGATTTACAGAGTAAATTCTACTTGCGTAGAAAAAGATGGCAAATGATTAATATCATCGTAATGTATTTAAAATTAAATAGAATAAGTGTAAATTTAAAACAGTGGCATCGCTAATTTTGAGTCCAAAACTTTGATGTAATAAGCCCCTATTAAATCCAATATCATCACCACCATGAGTGTTTCGTTTAAAATCACCATTATCAATTCATTTGCCTTGACCTGAGGAGCATTGTAGCTTGAAACTAGCTCTTCCTGCGCCATCTTGGGTGTGTTTGTGGTTGGTTCTTTTTGGGGTATGTTCCGTGTTTGGTTTAGTCAGTTCTCGTAGGTTGCTTTGGAAGTTGTATTCGTAGATAGTCTCCTCAAAGATCTTGTTATCGCCCCGTGTAAGGGTCTAAGTCAAATGTGTTAACACCTTTTACTCTTCAGTTCGATTTTTTTCTGGTTTTACATACGTATATGTGATTCTTAAATTATTCTCGCCGAAAGTACGTGGTGATAATTGGGGTTCAGTTTTCTGGCAATGTACACTGTAATTTCCATTAGCAAGTATTTTTTAAGTTTTTTTCACTAACTGCAGTATGGGTGGTGAATTCACAATTTCAGGGTCCAACATTCTTTTCACTTTTTTTCTGAACAATGTTTCATCTGGGTCGTAGCTCATTTCTTTTGTCTAGAATTATCGTCTACCTTATCCTAAGGAAATAACTCGTAGACTGTTTCGAAATGCAGTTCGCTTTAGCCCCACTATTCAATCATTGGACTTGAAGCACGATCCTGATTAGATCATTATAGTTTCTTGTACAATTTTTCCCACAGTATGAGTTGTAATGCCACCATGACATAGTAGCAATCAAACTTCGAGGCCACTTTTGGTTGCTTTCTACCGAGTTGTGACACTTTCCTTACTATGGATAATAAATGGATTTTTTTATTCATTTCGCATAGATTTTAGATCTGGAATGTTAACACCAAGGTCAAGCCATGTTACCGATTTTTTCTATGAGAATACTTCATATTTGAGAAACGAAAAGGTGTGCCTTCTTCCGGAATCTCGTATTTTGGGCCTCGCACTATTTTAGGAGGGTATCCATGTGTCACCTTTAGTAGAAGACAAACCGTTGGTGGATACAGTCGAGGGTGTTGGAGCAGTTTATGACTTTTTCAGGAACACAGTAAAACGCCAGCGTAAGTGAATTGCAATGGCTGCGCATTGTCTGATTTGATCTGTTAACTATATCATGTTTTTTTCCCCACATTAGCTAGCGATCAGTTTATCGGGTGGCACGACTCACCGTCATCGCCATACGAATGGATGACTTATGAAGAAGTAGGCAGACAAATATGCTTCTGTCTGAATCATAAAGTTATTTCCCACTACATTGTGGATTTTTTGTGCATGTTTGCAGGTTAACGAGAAGGTAGAGGCCTGTGGGTCGGGTCTCCTTCAATTTGAAGAACTAACAGGGAACTCGTTGAAATGCGTTGGTGTATATGCGATCAACTGCCCTGGGGTGGGTTTATTTAAGCTATCTAAATATCACTGGGTTGACATACTTCATTCCTACGTTCTTCCATTCTTATTTTCAATGTTTCAAAATTGCCTCCTGTGATTGCACTTACGCATCCTAAAACACCTCGATTGACTATCAAGTGCTAACCCTCTGGAACTCTTTAGTGTGTTTATTTCGTTTGCCATCCTACTTGCGTTTTACGCTCAATATAGCAGCAATTCCCATTAGAAAAGGACGCTCTTCCCTTGTTGCTACAACTTGTTTCTTTCATTGCTGCCAAAAAAATCTTTTGTTAAAATGGTCCATTTTTGCTTCGGAACTGTAACAATACGGAATAGTAATGTTTGCAAATAAATTTTACTTCATTAATTTCCAAGATGATGGTTTTAGGCACGTGGTCGAAAAAAAGAAATCGCCAAAATATCGAAGTGGGAAGGAACAATCAAAATCCGAACTCCCATTTGTTCTTAGTCTAGGGTTAAGTTGATAGGTCTCCAAAAAGCTGACCATTGAGACCTTATTTTCTGGTCAAACTGGTTGACGGAAACTCAGCATGCGAATTTACTATCACAGACGGAGTTTCAATCAACCCCCACAGACCATCTTCATAACCCACAAATACCAGTTGCAAACTTGTTCAACTCCCATGATAAATTACATTGCAATGGAGGTATCAAATCATAATGAAATCCTTGTCGAGTCGCGCAAGGAGGTGTCTCAATACACTGTCGTGATTTTGTTTTTGCTCGGCATGCATTTTGAAAGAAAGCACCTGATCCCAGCGACAAGCGTAGAGTGCACACAAAATATCCTTTCAAGAATCATGCGTCAACCGTGATATTTCGCTCTTTATCAAACAAACAAGTTCTGATAGGCTTTTAGGATAAAAACAGTTTCAACAAATTGGATATTTTCAAGTATACGAGATTCCCTTTTCTCATTGGTTTAAAACAATTTCGGCTTGTCGAGTAGTTACTACTGAATTAGGTGGGGGGCAAATGTGTAATAATCTCAGTGTTGTTCGCCTCCATTGTTTACAGGACGTATAGGGTGTAAATGCCAACCTGCTTACGTAGTGATTTCTTAGATGTTTGTGACTGTGACCTCATAAATTGCTTCTAAATTCTAAATGTGTATTTCCATTTCAGTGGCTCATTACTGAGCTTGGTTGCTGGGCCTATGGGCTGGTTGTGGTGCCTCTTTACGACACCCTCGGGCAAGAGGCTATGAAACACATTTGTAATGAAGGTAGAGTTTTTCTCACAACCTTCCCTGCCTGTTAGCACGAAATGCCTAGAATTTCCTGGGATTTGATTTCGTTACTTGCACCGTTTCTCTGCGCTAACTTTATATTCAAACGTCTATTCGATAGAGCTCCTTTAGACGTTTCTATAAGTTGGGACCTTGGTGTGCTATTTTCTTAGGACAAAAAGACAGCGATTGGCGTTCTCTTTTTACTAGCCGAGCTCTCAGTGGTAGTTTGTGACACGCCAGAGCGGGCAAAGAAGTTGATCGATGCGAGCTGCTCCACGCCCTGTCTCAAGTACATCGTTGTCCTCTCTTCCAAAGAGGAGCTTGAAAATTTGCGCTCTGCAGCCGGAAGCAACATTGGAGTGATCACTTTTAACGAACTGCTGGTTAGCTCCCCCTCTAAATCTTCACTATGTCAACTAATATTCTGCTGTGGTTTCAACTGTTGGTTTTAGGATCCCTGAACTAGGGACCATTACGACTTATTCTTGCTCATTTTAGGCAAGAGGAAGCGTTCATCGTCAGAAACCATGCGTAAGTATATTTCAACATCTGAGTGGTGTGTTATGAACCCTTTGTTTGGATTTGTTATGTTTCAGCCTTTAGACGGAGATGGGCTCATTACAATCTGCTACACTAGCGGCACAACAGGTAGGTGTTTTGTTATGATATGCGTACTTTTGCTAGAGTGTGGACACTGTCATTATTATCGCATTCTTGACCAATAATTGTTATGCTTAGATAATTTGCTGATTTGTTTCGCTTTTCGACGGAGTTAACCTGGATGATTGAGCTTTGCATCCTTCATCATTTTGCTAGCTTCAAACGCACTATAAGGCCTACCTGATTTGGTCTAAGCTGTCTTGTACCTTGTGTAATATATCGAATGCCAAAAGCTTATCTTTCATGACCACTAGTCCTATTAGTTGACTGGAGTTCTGTTCGTCACCAGCAAATAAGATGCGAGTCGCTTTTGGTTTGCAGGAACTCCGAAGGGTGCCATGATTCGCAATAGAAATCTCATCGCCGTTATTGCCGCGACGCAACGGGTTCTGGGGAAAGTAAGTTCGAAACTACTTCATCATTCGGTATTCTATTCAGTACCGACTCTATTTGGACTCTTAAAGTAAGTGATATGTTCTAAAGACCGTACCTTTTTGAGTCGTTTGAAATCAAATGAAGATGTTCATGCCCTCCACACTTCGTTGAAACATCATTTGAATCGATACTACAGTGTTTATGGGCGATTTCAATTAGGGCCGCCATACGAATGTAGCACGTTTGGAAATCAGCGCAGTACTGTTTTTTGTGTTTTGGCTACCACATTTGCCTACAACTGGTACTCTGTTAGACTACAGTAACTGGAAGAATAAATTAATTCTTTTTTTGAAGTGTAATGATTCGACCTGCTTGTTTAGGACAATGGAATGCGAAATCAAAAGTCAATCATCGTGAGACGGTCTTTCGATTTAGTGGGATTAGCTTATAGTTGTGCAATCTCCAACTAACTCCTTCATCTGCATTGCTGTGGAGTGAATAGTGTGCAAGTTTTTAACTAAATGTTTGCAAGGAGCGTTTGAATACCAGACGTGACATCTAGGTTTGTAAGCTTGGCTGATAGTACACACTAAAGCACATATTTTTGCTACTTTTAAATGCTTCCTAATGATTATGTAAAGTGCTTACGCTTCACCTATTCTCCGGCTTTTTGTTATAAACTGGTGTTCATGTGCGTGAGTTTGGATCTTGTCTGGATTCCAGCTGGCAACTTAAAAGGTGACACCGGGACAGCGAAGTCCAATGTTGATAATGTGAGCAGCACAAGGAGTGTGGTGTGTACATGCATGCCTGCTGGAGTGCTGGAGACACAGGGTAGTTCGTTTTCTTAAAGCTACTTTGTCGGAGCTCTAACAAACGTTAAGATGTCGGAATACGTATAGCATTGCATACTAATTGTAATGTCGGGTCAAAGATTTTGTCCCTGTGCAACCCCCCCATACTGCTTTATTGCATTCGTATTCTCCACTGTCTCTTCGGTGATCTGTTTGGTAGGTTTCTCACATCCACCTTTTCATAAGATGGCCTGAAGTTCTGTAATAAATCTACCCTTGTGAACGGGGTCAGCTTGAGCATTTGGTGAACTAGACTTTCGTAGAAGATCTGAGGTAAATGCCAAAAAATATGAGCCGAATATTCAATAGGTGTTTACGTTTGGTCAGTTTTATGGTTGGATGCCTTAGCGCGCTGCAGAAGTTGTCCTCAGCATTAGTCACTATGCCGAAAGCAAGTGTGTACCGGATGGAGATGCGAATCTGCGTGCTAGCGCGATGCTGACCCAGCAGTACACTTTGAGTTGAACTAAGAGGGAGACGGTATTTAACTTCGACGAGTACGCTACTCTGTCATTTGTCTTCCATTTATATTGTTCCTGGTATAAATGCGCTATTTGTTCCAATTTCATTTTTAGCTTATCACAAAGGATGACACCATCCTATCGTTCTTGCCTCTGGCGCACATCTACGAACAGTACTGTGAGGTAAGCCAGTGACAACTCATAATTGTGTTCTCCCAATGATTGCATCCTTTTCAGAGCGTTGGCGTATCTACCCGCCAAGTAGAGGTTGTCTCCAGTGCATTGGCAGTTCTTCCTAGGCTATCGATTCATTGTCGGACATTAAATCTTCCTTTCTGTTGCCCTTTTTGGTCCAGGATGGGCTGACCATCAGGTGATGGACGAATAGTGGGCGGGAGCTGAATCATGTGTTGTATGGTGCGCAACCCTAAACATGCAGGTTGATGCTATCTGCACGTGTTGATTCCAGTCAAAACCCTAGGTCATTGCGTCAGAGTTTTAGCGTACAGGCAGGGCTTGACACAGCTCTGTCGCAAACCAAATTTCATTTGTCAACGACATCTGTTCCCCTTTTCTACTGCTGAATCCTCTCGTTCATAATGTGGAAAATCGCCAACCACACCCTCCGGTTTAGTAAGATATACGATGTGGATACAAACTTGGTGTGCTAACAATGGTTTCCATAGGATTCCCTTCATTCCAATATTAAGCCTGTCCACTGAATTTAACCTTCTCTTCCAAGATTTTTGTGATTCACTTTAAAAACTTGTTCGGAAGTGACAATCCTACAATACGTGCAAAACCCGTCATTCGCCGTGAAATTCTTTCCTATAGTGATGTTTTGATAAATCACAAGTTGATTTAGTCAATTACGTAGTTAACTTAAATGAGGCTTCAAAAACGCCGTCAGAGTCCAAAGGTGGGTGAGGTTGCACGATTTTCTAGAATATGAAGCCTCTGCCTGAACCGGATTAGTCATTGGAGGCTTTCCAGAAGATGGGTCACCTATTTAAAAATCCACTCACCAAAACTGGTTTGGAAATTTTAAGAGGCTTCTCCAACGCTTATTCTGTTTGACCCCAATAGCGTAGTGCATGTACCAAGATTGTGACACTAATCAAGCGTTCCGATTTTTTACCGGAACAAATCTTTACTGAAAGGGTGCCATCTTCTCTACTACTATTTTTTGCACTTGCTCAAGTCTCTACAAGCCATCGTTTTTCCCAAGTGTAGCATGTCCGTTCGTTGTCCGGTTATTTGGAAACGAGTGCATTAACTGCATCTTGGGTGGGAGCATACGAACAAACGCGTCCACTTGGCAAACGGCGTTTAGCCGACTCGTCACCAATGGGAAGGGCGCAGACCACCAGAGTTACGGAAGCGGGGCTCACGCTCTAATTAGTGGGGTGTTAGGAAGATGAAGTCAAAGGGAACACCCCTTTAATTGAAATTCATTTCATCGATGGCATTGTTCTGTCTCAATTGTGCCTATTTAAAATTAGCTCTATTTACTAGGTTGTACGCTTCCAAAATGCCTCAGTTCTGGAGTAGTGATGAAATTGTCATTCTTTGGACTTTAAATGCAAGCTTTACCTGTAGAAAAGCCCAACGATGGGCGACAACTAATATCCCAAAAAAGGGTTTTTTCCTTTCCAAACCGTACATTTCAACCTTCCATGTGGACAGAAGAATTAGAATGCATGTTATTTTTGTGGTAGAGTCTTTGCGTACTGCAGTGCCAGTTTATATAGTTAGTAGTTTGAAGTAATAGTTTTTCGCATTGCTTTAGCAAGCTTCGGCATCATAGGTATCCTTTCTCCAGTGGTCCACTGGTGAATACTTCTACGGATGTCTTTCATTTTCAAACCTCCATACACGTTCCCATTCTGGTGTATGCCTGGGCCAATTTGTTTTATTTAGGAGATCATTCCCTCCGATGTATCCACTATTTCCGAACGCTTGGTGATCTTGGCGAGAATACTCAAGGAAACTAGGTAGTGAGCTCAGTGGTTAAGTGAGGGTTACAGTCGTTTTCACGTTGTTGGATTCACGAAGCACGGTCTTGTATTAACGTTTCCCTTACTGATGCTAGGTTTATCTCATGTACGTCGGTGCGCGAATCGGCTTCTATTCAGGGAATATTACAACCGTTAGTGAGGACATGCGGATTCTTCGCCCGACTATCTTTACAAGCGTACCTCGCCTCCTCTGTCGAATCTACGACAACGTCTACGAACGTGTCTGCAAGTCCACATTTAAGCAATTTCTGCTCAAGTTTGCTCTCAAGGAAAAGTGCCACAAAGTTGACAAGTAGGTTTTATCAAGCAATTTTTTATAAACCGATATTCCCTTTCCATACTGACTGACTGTATGAAGATTACGTCATTAAAATTAATGTAAGATCACCACCTTTATGTCGCCAATTGATGCAATCTGCTCTTTTATAAGTACCTTTTTACCTGAAACGTGCTTACTTTTCACAATTTATCCGACAACTGTGCGACTGAATCATGGTGTTTGCTTACTAATAGCCCCAACTCAGCTAAACCATTTGGGTGTATCACTACCCATAAGCTATATACTTGCCAAGTGCTATATTAGATTGTAAGGCCTAATTCAAATGACCATAAAGCAGCTGTGGGAGGTTCGCCTGGGCATCCTCTTTTACTTGCACATCAATAATGGACCAGCCATTACTCCCACAAGGTCCCAACTTGCCTGAAGGAATAGATGTCGTTGTCTTCATTTTAGGCGCTTAATTATGCTCTATCCCGGAGGTGGCTGTTCGCCTTTTAGATGTCATAGCAACCATTGTTGTGCCAAGGTACTTTACCTGAATAACAGACTATTGGCTTTGTTTACGTGGTTTTCAGACTAATGTACGCGTTTCTACTGCTGGCGTGTTCATTTGTTGCCATGCCACTACTGTTTGATGAACATATCTTCACTACCATCTGATTATTTCAAAGTGCTACTTATTGAGGGAAAAGTCTTGTTAAATATTACATGGAAAAGTTGCCCTTACTCTAGCTTAATTTTCCCATGAAAATCCGTTGTTGAATGCGTCGATGAAAGCTCAGTTATTTGGGCTTAGTCTGACTGGCCTATCGTATTCCGGAGGAGGCGGTGAAAGCTTAAAGAAGTGTGTCCTGGCAAAATACTGGAAATTTGAATTTGAGACCGGCGAGTTAAATGGGAAAGTGGAACATACACCTTCATAATCCAATGGCGTTTCTCTTACGTTTATTGTTGACTTCCACACACAGGCATAAGTAAATGAAAGAGGCATCACCTTATGTGTTTTGTCTTATCGCACCAATTTTTCCATGCAGACAAATTTACGACAAGAGTTTTTGGGACTCGACGGTATTTTCGAAGATTCTGCGTAACTTTGGAGGCCGTATTCGTCTCGTTCTGGTGACTGGCGCTCCTATTGCTCCCCCCGTTCTGCGTTTCACTCGGGCGGTTTTCTCGTGCCCGGTACGTGTCGCACAGTGTCTTAGTGTATTTGTGAGGTGGAATAACTCCCCATCTACATAGCTGTCGGGCTTTTCCTAAGTTACCATTCACTTTACCAGCTGGATGAATTTGTCGATGGAAGACGTTTGACGTTTAGATGAAGTTTTCGCGAAAAAATTCGTATTCTTCTTTACAGCTCACCAGCCTAAAGATCTTTGTAGCAGTGAATATTCCGGTAGCCTGTCCTAATGGTTACAATCACGAAGTCCTGCTCTGCAATTTTTCAATAAAATTAGGTCCTCGAGGGGTATGGTTGCACGGAGACTTGTGGTCCCGTGTCGTCATCGCTTGCTGGTGATCTGAACGGCAGTCACGTTGGAGCTCCCTGGCCATCTGTGGAAATCAAATTAACCGACGTGCCAGATATGGGCCTCCTTGCTGCAAGAGATAATAGAGGAGAGGTGCGTGCTACCTACTGAGATACAGTCAGTAGAACTATGTTTTGGCGAAACTAAGCTGAGGACTCGATTTTCAGATTTGTGTTCGAGGTGCCTCGTGCGTAAGCGGCTACTACAAGAACCCTGAGATGACCGCTAAGTTAATAGACGAAGATGGATGGCTGCACACTGGTGATGTGGGCACTTGGCAAGTAAGCCCTCAGTTACCCTTTTCCTTACTTAGATTTTCCTGGGCGGATTAAGTATACTTGAAGTTATCGTGGTGGGTAAATTCTTCCATATCAAAAGTTGTAAATCTTCAAAACTGCCTATGTTATCAGCGGACAGAGAATCTGTGCATTTTAGCCCATTGCTGACTGTTTTCTTAGGATTTGAAAATAACATTCTATTATTGGAAACAATGGGCAGATAAATGCCAAGTCCAACTTGACTGGGCAACTTAAGCAAAGCATCACACTAAGAAAGTATATAAGTTGTTTACATAAGGTAATTTTAAATACCAATTAATTAACTGTAACTTAATCGCAGCGTTTGAAATACCTCAAGTTGAAATTTTTATACACTGAAGGATGTTTATGTGCTGCATTTTTGTGGTTTTTAATAGTTGCCAAATTGATTAAGGATGTAAATGCTTAACCAGTGAATGTTGAAATCTCAAGTTGTGGTGAGCCACTTTTGCAGATACTTTTGAGATTCCTTTCTTATTTAGGAGGGTTGTCTGAAGGTGGTCGATCGTTGCAAGCACATTTTCAAACTTGCGCAGGGAGAGTACATTGCTCCGGAGAAACTGGAACTCGTTTATCAACGGAGTCCTCTAATCAACCAGATCTTTGTCGACGGCGACGCACACAGCACTTTTCCTGTTGCCTTGGTTGTCCCTGAGGTTGAACCACTTCTGAAGGCACTATCCAGCTATTCACCAAAAAGCCTTCGTGAACCCATCCTAGATGCTCAAAACAAACCATCATTGGAGGATATCTGTGCTGATCCTAGAGCCAAGAAGATAGTCATGGCTGATCTAAAGAGTCTTTCTGAAGCTGCAAACTTCATGGGATTCGAAAAGGTTATTCTCATCAATCCCCTATGACTAGATCATTCCTGTATCCTTCATTTTGCAGTATTCAGAATATTCTTACCTGGTGACCATGATGACTGCGAATTGAGCCTATCATATTCTCCTTTTTTACCATAGGTAAAGAATATCAAACTTATACCGGAGCCCTTCAGCATCGACAACTTAATGCTGACCCCGACACAGAAGGTAGCTCGACCTGCAGTTCGAAAACGGTACGCCGAGGAACTGGTCAACCTATATAAGGAACATCCAACGGCTCAATAGAATTCATCCATTCTCCCGTCTGGGATCATGGTTCACTTCAAAGAGCAACAAAGTTACCCTCAGCACCACTTTGCTCCTTTCCTCCCTTCCCCTACTCAGACTGCTCCCCAATAATGTTTACCCCAGGAGATGGTTGAAACTATTCATGTAATTGAATTTTAATGCTCAACTCTTTTAACGAAATGTATTGAAGTGACTGACAGATCTTTTTTTATTTTTACGAATGAATGCTTGACCCCATAATGTGAAATACAACCTACTTAAACTCGGATTGCGATAAAATGCTTAATTGCCTCCCACGTACCAAGCAATGGAGGTCTCCTTAGGTAATTTTTTGCACTGCTATGTTTGCTACGGCCTTGAGATTGGTGTAGTACTACCAAATGAGCCCTGGCAATTTGGGCTTGTCAGTAAAACTCCAAACCATGTAATTCACTAGGGTTGTTTAGTCACCTCTTTTTAATTTATACTTGAGATTCGTGATTAAGTTCGCGTCCTTGAGTATACACTAGCGGTTAACACAACATTCAGTGGTAGTCATGGTTAAGCCCACGCTAAGTTGATGAACAGCGGATGGTTAGTCTTAACAATCCAAGTCTATGGTCGCACAGCCGTTACGATGTCCATGGTGGGCAAGCGGGTGCGCCTGCACCCTCAAAGTCTGGTGCTTTTACCCTAGGTACGCCAAGTCGGAGATTTGTTCTAGAGCGTGCGTACTTTTAGTAGGCGATTCATGACGATTTGTAGACGCTTTTCTTCGACACGAGGGAGGAACAAGCATAATATTTTCCACCGTAGTGTCCTCTTACTAGACGAACAAGGATTTCTTTTGAAGACGAAATTCGATTAATTTTGTTGAGTCGTTACAAAGTTTTCTGGATTGCTTTGACGATAAAACTCCTGCACGACTTCCACTGGCTTGATTGGAGAGGCTGATGAATCAAATCATTAGTCCTCTGCTTGGCATAAAATGTTTATAATAATTCAAAGTTTTGTCAAATTTTTACTTCTATTCGCTTACTTATGTGGTACTCGAGGTTGAGTTTGAATTTCAGTGTATCCAAGAAGCAGGTTTTGTGCAAAAGAGTAAACTTTGGCTCTGCATTATGTTACCCTGTCCCTTTTGCTGGCAGGTAAACAGTCTCTCGTCTAGTTTCAGCTGGTCTTCGAGAAGCCTGGGATTAAAGATGGGGCTAAACTATCTGAACAAATGTCCTCTCTCTGGTGCTGAAGGTGAGTACATTACTGAAAAACCCAGGGTAGCAATACCTAGTGATTCAGCATTAAACACCCCAGGTTAACAGTAAACGATCCATCGGCTGCATAAATAATGTTCCATGGTACCACTGATCACAATTGTTCATAAATCCGAAGTCCACGATAACGAACGTCATGGCAGGCATTTTGCCGACCCTTTGCTTAACGGAGTGAGACTGCTTTGAGTTTGCAAATAAATAACTACCTTTATCACCTCTTGTTATACTGATTTTGCCAAGAAGTAATGCTAAATTGCTCCATGATCCAATGGTTATAAACAGTTTCCAAAATTACGACAAATTGGAATAATTTTAGATTGAGTTGTTTATCTATTTACACTCATTCTAATAGGTAGATTTAGGCTGGAAACATACTGTTATAAGCCAAAAAAGGACCTGGGGATTTGTTTTGGAATCGTTCAAGAGGAGAGAATGGCGCTGAAAATCCATTAAACTACGCCTACTTTTAAAAAAAAAAGTGACAACAACCACTTAAAGAAACTAAAGTGCCGCGTAGAACATGAAATTATTTGGGGATTCTCTTAACAGAGTAAACGAAAGCGATTTTTCGTCAGCCCATACCATCTTGAATTCGCTAAGACTGATGCATTATCTGTGGAATTTTCTGGGTCATATCAGGAAGCATCGACACAACAAATGTCCTTCATTGAATTATTTGACAAATAATCATTAGTTCCTGCGTCACTACTTCTAGAAATCGTGATTTACGGATCATTAATTGTAAGAGCAAATCGTTGTAATACTCACAGACCAATTGATAACCTATTATTGCTAATCGAGTACTTTTCAGTACAGTTTGAGAACCGGTAACTCTCAACAGCAAGTTCCATTTCGAACCCCCACACTACTACACGCGTTTATGTCTTAAAAGTTAGTAATACCGACGCGAGGAAGAGGGGGAGTAAAGATCAGACACTGTCGAATTTGTCATCGTGATCGTCAGATTCTGATGGGAATGAGCTGGAAAACATGCCCAAAATCGGTCGCTTCAGGCAGTCTCTTTAACCGAAGCTCAGTAAATTGATTTACTGGAAGTTCATTCAAAATTTCCTTCCAAAGCAGCTAACTTCAGGAAAGTAATCCCTATTCTCTTGCTAAATAGTCGTCAAAATGAACTCATAGCAGGTAAATTTAGTATCTGCGTCTACGTCATATATATATATATATTTCAGTAGTTTCAACTAATATAAAGGGTTACGAAATCAGAAACGTGCTGTGTTGAAAATTAGACCCAATTTGGCGGATAATGAAGCGGAAAAATGATTCTGTCTGCAGACCAGTAGGAATTGGCGTCTGTATTCATTAGCGATTTAGAAAAAAAAATTTTCTTGGGAGGCCTCCCCTCATTAAGAATCGTCAACAAAAGAATAACAAGACGACAAAATCGTGCCGTCTCATGTACATTAATGTTCATTACTTCACAGATGCCTCATAATTACATGAAAAGCTAAACACAGGCGGTTGTGTCCGAAAGCATTTCCGCGTTTTGTCAATTGTCGCAAGGATGTGTTGAAAAGCAAGTGCTAAACCATGGACCAAAATCTAAATTTTCGAGGGTAATTTTGATTAAAATAATATTGTTGTAGGATAAAGAAGTTTGAATGAGTATTCAGCAATGTAGGAGAGGAATCTAAAAAAGGCCAAACATAGGGGCAGAACACGGAGGACGAAGGATCTTGGTAAGGAACCAGTAGCGTGTAGAGGTAGGACCCATGACAGTTGCAAGTTTATTAGACAAGCAAAATCCACAAGTATCGGTAAAATGTTTTTGCTGCCGATTACTTGCGCTAAAATAAACGTATTTGCGTTTCGAAAATAGGACATTCGCTATTAAGCAAAAACCAGTAACTAAAGTCGGTGTAATCTGCCGAAATAGGAATTTAAAATCGTGACCACGGGTAATCGTCGATCCCGCTTCAACATAAGAGTCAGTTTAAACTAAAATGACTTATCATGATTTACTACCAGTGTGTTGAGTGAATGTTCTTGAATAAAGCGAGGATGTGATGTAAAATGCTGCGGCCATTTTATGGTGCACTGGGCAGCTTCATGCCTAATATATACATGCATACGACTGCAACTGGAAACCTGGACCAAATATGTATGCGAGGGACAATAAGCCCAACAGAAATTGTCTCACCTAACATCTGGCATAGGCTGAATAAAGGTTGATTCACTTACGATTGCACTACTTTAAGAATGCAACAATGCAAAGCATTTATCTGCCAAAAGAAGTGGCCGCAGCCCTAGAAAATATATCCGTTCCGATTTTTTGGAAATCTCAGTTTTTGTGGTGTTACTGAGCTTTCTAGCAGGACGCGCTCCCACTCGGTCTCATGACTGGTTGATGTAGCATACTGATGTGCAAATAATTAAAGTAAAACCGAAGTCAATACAATGGTATGGATTTGCGAGACTGAAACCGCCCTGAACTCGGAGAGTCCCATTGGCCGGTTAGTCACTACGTACAAATCGAGGTCTGTCACTAGATTGATCGGGTTAGGAAATGGACAGTCTCCAAGATCACACTTGAAAACATCAGTCCATAACAGAAACTCAAATAATATAGTGCAACTGCCTTTCGATACCAATCCTGGGATCTTTCTTGAGTAGTTATTTTGACTAACTAGGCTAATCATCGCTTATCAGGCTCAAGCAAACGGTACAACTTAGGGAAGTGATGGTGCGTTGCAGTGACTTTCACATTTGGATAGCATTAAGGAGCCCTGAAGCTTCGGCCTGACATTTAAAGACAAAATCTGAACGGAATAACGCTGTCGTGACATTCACAACCGAATTGCAGTTAATATCCGTTTCTTCAAATGTATCCATTAGTCACATGCTTACATGTATTTGCACTGGAATGTTACCGCACCCATAAGCCCAAGTTTTAATCTACCATGGTACCGCTTTGATACAGGCGCTGGAAAGAAAGGGAAATCCAGCTGACACGTCAATATTGGGAGAAGAGCAGGAGAAACTACACGTAAGACCGAAGAAACTCTCTACACAAACCAAGTTACAACAACGATGGCAAAGACATTTTCAGCAAAGGCAGAATAATATGGAACTGCTAAGGCGCAATCACAGCGCGTCTCGATAAAAATTTGCCGGTTTTAGTCGATAGTTTTAGTCGGCATACCTCAATCACGAAACCTACCACGTTACAAAGGTTCAAGGGCACTTATAGATAAAAAAATGGAGGCGAGCATCAGATATGTGATGCACAAAAAACGCTACTTCCCACATAATTAGACGATAGAAGAGCTGCAAGATTCATGCAGATTTATTTTTCTTCGTTAGCAGAAATAAAGACTCTCACACAAAAAATTATAAATTACTTACATACAGTATAGTTCGCGGCCTTGGCGCACAGCCGTAGGAAAGCATAAAGAGAAGAGAGGAGGGGGAGGGGGAAGAAAAGTGATGGAGACGAGAGGCCTTTGTGCACACGCGTACATACACAGACGGATGGATAGTGTAAGGGTGAGAGGAAGGGAGCAAGCGCGTCTGTCTACACGAGGTAGATGTCGTCGTAGTGGTCCTCGTGTCGGTGCTGGTGCTGCTGTGCGGACTGCATCTCGAGATCGGAGACGCCTTCACTGGCCTCGCTTTCCTGCGGAGGCGGTGGCACCACCGGCGTGAGTGGTGCCGGCGGGTGGAAAGGACTGAACCAGCGCCACGAGAAGGGCCGTCCGAACACGTTTGCCAACGTCTCCCTCTTTGATATACGCGGCCTCGGCGTCCCTTTATTGCGCTTCAAACTCTCCACAGCCTAACAAGAGGAATGAAGAAGCGGCATAGCTTTGGTAAATTAAATACGGACTTCCAGTACTCATACAACAAAATAAAGTGGGATGAGGTTGGAGAAGTGAAACCAGGCTGGGTACATAAAGCTGGTATTTGCAGTGCGGAAAGCAAGTAATCAGGTACGCCAAGAAGGCAAGTGTGCAAGACAACTAAGTGCTAATAGGGATAAAATAAGCTCAAATAAAAGAACCCAGTCATGTGTGTGTGCTAACTTTTAAATTTTCTGAAACTTATTTATTTAGCAAACTAGCAGTTTTAGCAACCGTGACCCAGACGTAGAATATAAACATGTAAAAACCCAAAGTGGAGCATGGGCGAACTATGTAAAGGTGTATTAAGCACGAGGATTTTCACAAGTTATTTCCCAAAGTGGTGACAACATAGTGTCATGACTGCCAAAGTAAATCGATCCTGCGAAGATTACATGTAAGATGCCCTGGAGATTATATTGAAGGGTTAGCAGAGGGCTGCTTGCTATCACAAATGCAAATGCTTCAGGCATTACGTAACCACCCAAAGTAGGGCATTTTCATAGTCTACTAAACAAAAGCTTAAAAGCACGTGGGCACAAAAAACCAGCAAGTTGCCAGAAAAGTGATTTATTAAGCAGGGTGCCAATTAAGACCGCATCACGAACAGTGATGTGACATCCATAAATGCTAAAATAGCAGTTTCTCGGGGAGAATCATGCACAGTTCTAGAGCTACCTAGAGTTAAAATTAATTTAAGGTGGTTTCGAAGCAGCGGGGACTATGAGCTGGTGAATGTAAAAGCCGATCTATGCAAACAAAATGAAATTAAAAATGTCAGATACTAAACCCTACAGCTAAGGTTGAGAACTAAACTGCAGTAATTTGTGCGCATTTTAATTGATTCTATCTTGAGCCCTAACTTGAAGTGTCGACATAAATAGAAGGCTGTAGCGAGCATCGTAAAATAAAGTAACAACTAAATGGCTTAACCTATTGCAGCGGCGTAAAGCTAGTGAATAATTTTATAACGGTTATTTAGAGCACGAAACTCCAGTGATAGACAAATGAGGCATAACACAAAGATCTATAAGAAAACATCGCGTAAATATAACTGCAACTAGTCAGCACTAACGAATGGTAGAACTAAAGAGCTGAGGTTCAGCATCCAATTAATACAGGAACATAGCAAAGGTACCACAGCGATAAATGAAGTTCATTTTAGGCACATAAGAAATCGCCTTAAAGAATTCCACAGGGGGCACCGACACAGGGTATCTAGGGAGGAAAACTCAAAGATGGTCCCATCCAGAGTGAGTTGAAAGTTGGCGGGAGCCTCAGACAACAGTAGAGAGGGGTGGAGAATGTTTATAAAACCTACAGTTTCGTCTTTGCAGATGGCACAGAGTTGAGTGCCCCCAATTGCGACGGTGAAGAGACCAAAGAGGACAGCCTCGAATCCCGCGCCGATGGCGAGCATGGTGGAGGGGAGGGAGGTAGAGGAGATATTGGTCGCACCAAACGACGAAATTAGGCGGTTCTTACAGGTTGCTGAATACATACATACAAGCACATACATGCACACATACAAGTGCACACACATTCGGGTCTCGTTATACACCACAACTGCATACGTACGTAAAGCCCTGCCAGAGCAGTAGTAATGGCGTGCTTGTCGGAGTAAGTGCTACATAACTTAAAATTATCACTACGATAACTCCAACATCTGTCGAGATGGTTACACACCTGTAATGACGATACTACGAGGTTATTCTTGATGATCATTGAAAGGTGCGGTGGTTCCAATGAGAGTATTCACTGAAGTGACCACAAAAGTTGCCTCTAGGGTAAAATTGATAGCAAAACAGACACCTAACACAGTGGAATCTAAAATGTTATTGTATCTTCTCATGTATCCAAAATACGAGAGAAAAAATCCAAGTCATGTACTAGGGCAATCGCATGTAAAAGTGCACCTGAACTACGCTTTTGCACATTAATAAAGACCCAATAGTATCATTATATTTAGCTTCGTCTGGCATGACTAGAGCTACTCAACTGCCTAATTCGTAACAGTCGAAAGTAAAACCAACCACCTCACAGGAATGTTAAACAGAGCTGTGCAGCAACAGAGAAAGGACAGGCACGCCAATAACAAGGCCTAGAGGTGAGTGCTACCTGCGACACTAATAACGGGTTTGGTACCCAGCCCAGAGCAGAGAGAGGTGAAAAAAAATGAGGTGGAGGCAAGGCAAAGGAGGGGGGAGGGTGGGGACAGGAAGAATGGCGAAAGGGGATGTGGTGGAGTGTGACTCACGGTTTCGTCCGAAATGATTGACGATACTTGAGAGCACGACATGACGCTAGTGAAGAGACCGAAGAAGGTAGCCTCGGAGATGAAGAATATGTTGTTGATAAGAGCTGCTGTGGCGCTGTAACTGCCTGGATATTCACACTCTACGATAGTTCAAATCACGACGAAGAAGAGAAGAAAAAAAATGAAACTAGGAAAGAAAATCTCAAGGGTTTTAGCAGCATTTTCGCCATGACTTGTCGCAGGGGATGAAGAATACGATATTCAGGTATCCTGAAAAGCGCCTCAACTCTCCTCTTCTGCCGTGTACAAATTTCCAAACATCGTTGAAAATCGCTCATTGCCAATCGAACAATAGGAGACGAGTCGAAAATTGAAATGCATTACCTCTTTAAAGACTCAGAAAAATACAGTGACTGAGCAGTGAGCAAAAGGGTAGGGATTATTCAGAGAGAGAGAGATGAAATTCAAATATTCGGGGAAGTGAATATTAGTATTCACCTTGATGAATCAGGAGGGGACAGTGTGGGTGTCTACTGGGCTGGGTTATTGGTGTTAGTTCTACTAGTGGTAGGAATTAAACAAAACCTATCTGCCAGTGTTAGGAATGCTAAACGCACTGATTTTATTATCTTTATGAAGCAAAAGGAAGAAATCAAGCACACTCAAAAGACTGAATAAATAATTACGTAAGCAGTGACGCATGCAAAATAAGAAATGCACTGCGCAGAAACAAAGTTGATAAATTTGTATGTATTTACATGTGCGAGCCAAGCGACTAAATACATCCAGCAAGAAATTGTAGTAGCGACTTTTTTGCTTTATCTGAAACTTTTGCTGTGTGCAGCTGTCCCTCCAGATTCGCTTCAACTTAAAAAGTGTGCTCTAAACAGCAAGCTTACCATTTGGCTTTGGGGTTATTTTAATACATTTGGTGAAATGCATATCTTTCTAGGGCTACAGGCATTACTATCATTAATGCATTCTATGAATAGACGGCGAAAAATCAGCCACTACCGCAAGATTTGACGAACTAATTCTTCGGTTCTTACTTTTTGCAAATAAAAACAAAATGCATAAAGACAGAATGTAACTTACTTCCGAATTCGGAGAAACAAGAGAAGAAAAAAGAGATGATCAGCGCTAATCCAGCGAGCGATTGTAGAAATATGTATAACTGAAATGATGAAGTGAAAAGACAAAAGCTCGCCATTTTGCCCTCTCGGAGGACGCCTTTGGCTAGCGTAACCCACATAAGGGATAGTTCATAATCTGAAATTAAGTTTCTCGGGTAGCCATAGGTAATGTTAACACTTGTAATTCAGTTCTAATTAGGCATTTGTTACTATCAATAGACAATCAGAAGCAGGACTGTGAGTTAATGGGTGATGCTGAACATTTATGGCACTGCAGCTCTGCGGAACCCGGAGTAAAAGTGGTATACTTGACGACTAAAGTATTATCAATTCCATTAGTGAAATTCAACTAGACCAACTGAGGAGGGTTAATTATAATGCAATTTTACACGATAGAACGATCGAAGAACTTACATTAAAAAGTACAAAGAATTTTTGGTTTCCCTCACCAACACAGTTATTCACCCAGGGGCAGTGGTGGTCCATTTTCCGAACACAACGGCGGCAGCAGCTGAAAAAAGAGAAGGATTAGAAGCGAACATCGCATTGTGCACTGCAAAGTTGCCTAACACCGTTACTTTCACTAAATCACATTTCACTTCCTCTAGACTTCATTTTAGTACCTCAACACAGTGACCAGAGGCTCAACAGTGAAATGGGTCGACACCAACTTCGCCAACGGAATAAAAGCTGCGGAAAAGTCTACCTGCAGTGATGCGCTCGGTCGGGTTTGATACAGAGGCACTTTGGACAGCGTACCAGGGGAGTATTTGAACCGGATGCGAGGTATATTCGCATGACAGCATCACGAGTAGCGTTGCCCAGACGCACCGTGCCCTGAAAGGAAGAGACAGTAAAGACATGGGGTTCAATTACAACCCACTTTGAAAAAAAAGGACTCGGGGAGGCCTCTCATTGAAGCATGTGAAAATATGTAGAATAAGTGTGTATAAGAAAAAAAAATGTATAATTAACTAGATCTATGGGAAACGATCAAGGATTACCTAAAAACCTTAAGCGAGGTGTTTAAAGAGTCAAAATCTTTGTAATTCACTTATAAAATCTGAATACTGCCCACCGCCTAGTAGTTCACAAGAAAAAGTGCACTAGAAGCTTTAAGAAAGTCCTGCAAAGTCCCTGACAGAACTGAAATTCTACTCACACTACATAAAATTGAAGTGAAAAAGACATTCTTCTCGAGCTGTAACAGATTTTATTGAATATAACACGTAACAAGGGCCTAAATACGAAAATTCACCGGAAATTCAATCCTTCACACATGAGTTCGTATAATAGTTGTCTGAAACTAAGATCTTTCAACTAACAGTTTGATACAATATTAATATCGTTGCGCCCTAGTGACAAAAAAGGCCAGGTAATGATTCTAAGTCAGTTCTTGGGGTTTCACTAACACAAAAAATCGTTTATGCTCTCATTCTTGGATGCATGTTTCTTGTCTGGGGTCGCGTACTTGGATGTTAAATGAACATTAAATCGAGTTAAAACATACTGGGTCGGTAAAAACAGCTTTGAGATGTGAGACAACGGCAAGGAGAGCGAATACGTGGTAGATAAAACCGAAGATCCAAGCGATTACAGCGGAGGGGAGTTGCGGCAAAATAATGCAGGCAACAACGAACTCGCCATAGGCAATGAGGAGCCAAGTAAAGACCATACAGACGCATCCAGCACAGTCACGCACAAACCAGACGACACCAAAAGGCAAGGGAAAGCCATTTTCAACATTCGCGGCCATCTTTTGTGGAGGTGGAGGGTAACGGAGACGACAGAGCCTCCTCCAGGGACTCAAGCAGTCACAGAGATCGCCGGGTGGTCGTCGCATGGTAAGGAGGTGTTGGGAGGCCTCCTCGTCCCACTTGTTGATGTCAACCTCTTTGTGACCACGGTAGCGAGACCCCGCTGTGATGACGGGAGGGAATGTCGACCCAGAGGCTGCGCTATCAGACTCACCGTTGGCATCCGCGAGGCGATCACTAGCGCCGTAATTGATCACGCCATGGTTACTGTTATTATTTGCCATAGCAGAGTCCTGAAGATGTGAAGATTCGCTTTTGCGGGATGATATCGAGCCCCCCTCAGCTAAGCGGACAAATGGAAACCGGTTCATTGTGTTCTAAAGTATAAGGTAAGGCAGTCAGGTGGATTTTACCTAACAGGTGATTGCGGAAGAGGGAGATGATATTACAGCACGTGGTGTCAAAGGCATCCAAGATATCATGTGATGTAAATAAATAAATGATGAAGAGTAAAGTGCTAAATTACCGTCTTTTATTACCTGAATTTTATCAATTGTTGTGCAGGAGCATGACAAAGTACGCGGATGTGGAATATAAGTGACTAGGAATAATGGGTTTGAAGATATGCGACCAAAGTTTATGCTGACAGCGTCTTACAGTGACCTTAGTTCGGTCGACAACAAAACAGATAAATCAAGTATATCAGCAAAATACTTAACCAATAAGATCAACGTCTTCTTGAGATTTAAAAAGGGAAAATAACATTCAATCATTCACCAGAACAGCTCTACCAAATGTTGAGATAGATTAAAGAGCCGGTGAAAACAGCACGCAAGGAAGTGAATATGCAAGCTACATTATGAAGTCAGCAAAAATTTTGCACAAAATTTCACATATAAATGCCACTTCACCTAAAGTGGAATGGATTAAAATCATGCCAATACGATAATCTGAGCGGATTTGGCTAAGTATTCTGGTCTAAGAGAGCAGGCCCCAAAAATGAAAACATTTAATATAGCATTCATAAATAAAATTCACCACTAGGAAACTTCAGCACCAAGTGAAAACACACCTCATAATAACAAAGAGACCTAGGTGATATCATTAATGTGTCAGGTTGGTAAATGGATTGATATAGGTCCCGACTCGAACATGCCTTTTATCAATACTGAGAGGAAAAATAAGGCCAGCTATGGAAGAAAATCACATTACACGCGCCGCAGAAAACAAGAGTTCGAACTCTGACAGAACCAACTCAGGAATACTTTTTTCTAGAGGACATCTTTTCAAATCCCGGCCATCTACGCATATACAGAATGTATCACGGTTTATCCATGAAGTTGATTGCCCCTAATTTATACATACACAACTTCCCAACAAGTAGCATTTCAGGCGAGGCAATGATAATCGTATGACAAACCACTAATGAAAAAAAGACCAGTCCTTTCATAACATATTCATGACGTAGCTGGAAAAACAAGTGAGTGCAAAGTGTGCGTGACGGAGAAATTCCCTCATAAATAACCCCAGTGACTAAAGGGACTAAAATCCAAGGTCGTTTTTACCTTTTTAGGAATGTTCAGAAGGGTGTTACACAGGATAATCAACTTGAAATTTCAAAAGCACGTAGGCCTTTTGAAAAGGATGAAGAATAGTACTGCGAACCAGGAGAGATTATACCCATTTAAAACTGCATAGAATTTTCAAGAACAAGGGGGATGTTTTTAAAAAGGCCGAGCACAAAAACGATCTTAGATAACAGGAAGCTGTTTTACGTAAAATGTATGAATAAACGGGAACAAATACAACCAAGGAAGTATTTAGGAGAAATCCAGGTGGAGCCATACCAGTCCTCGGATCACGCGCGTTAAAGCTACCAACCACGGTTAGGCTAGAGGGCATATTGCCAATCAATCATGTCACAGTAATCAGCTTGTTTCACGAAACCAAAAAAATCACCAATTTCCATACAATCACAAATCATAATCAAACACCGCATACCAATACTGATCTCAGGGACACACAAGGACCTGTGCTGAATAAATAAAAGCCTCAAAAACACCCGATTTAATAAAAAGTGCTTCGTGGGGAAAGGCTTACTAACATTATAGCAGATTATATATATCACTGCAAAACAAACAGTGGCTGGCCCATGGTGATAAAAAGTTCCAGTAAGTGTGTTGTCGAAGTGGAAAATTTTAAGTTATGGCACCAAATCATTTCTGGTTCCGAAATATGTCTGTGTTTGCACAATCAGATTTCTGACGAAAGCACAAGTTTGCTTAAAAATAAAGCAGGCCCAGCATTTTGAACTAAGGTACCTGAAAAAGTGTCAAATTAATGATTAACACGATAAGGTTCCAAATGCTAACTTAGGTGTTGCTAATCGGCTCTAGCGGCGCATTAGCAAATTTGCTGACTTAGTTCTCTGCTGCTTTTTAGTGTTCGGAGGCAAAATGCAAGGGTCAAATGTACAGGTGCACTTGCAAATGCTTTTTACATTCGCTTGGCTTAAAAGTGCCCCTGATTTTTAACTATGTAAGCATTAAAATTTCAGCCACCTGCATAGGTAGGCATTGACTGCATGAATTTACTTAGTAGACCTTCGTTGAGACTGCTTTTTAGATAATAATAGCCCTATTGTTCCAATGTAGCTTGGTTTTTTTAATAATATTTTCTTCTTCAGCAGGTATCCTGCAGACCAAGGTCAGAGCGACCGTTCATTCACCTTCTGTGAAGCGGGTTTTCCAGTTCCTTTGGCGTATGGAGTTTTCGAAGGTAATGTCTGCCGTGTGTTTTCTCTAGGTTTAATATTTTTAGAAAAGGAAGGTTTTAAATTCTGTTGGATTAATGGGTGCTTCTCAAGAAAACCCAAAGTAGTTTAATTTATGATTTTTTCCCAAATTGGTTTAGTCTATCTCCAGACGATGCTGTGAAATTCGTGTATTGTGTCCTTGATGCACTGTGTTCAAACCCCCAAAATCAAATCCTTAAAGAGGATTTAAATCTCCTTGATTTTTTGGCACGTACAGGAAACACCTTTGCGCATCATCCTTACTTGTACATAGAGGCCCTCGGGGACGAACTTTGTGGTACGGAAATCTCAGTACATTATCAAAAATTGCTCTTCTCTTGGTTCTCTACCATGGAATTTTTTTCATTAAATACGGTTTTATTGCTCCTTGATTTTCCGTAAGACTAGGCTGAGCTGGCCTTTGTACTAATGGTTTTGTTATATCTCATTTTAGATTTCGCAGCCTGGTGCCTTCATTGCTTTCTTTTGGTAGGAGCGCATGGTCCCCATCGCCAAGTTAACTCAGTTTCTTATGTTATCAGCAAGCTTATTTTTATGCTTGAACGACACACAACTTCCGATGTGGATTCTCTGACCGATTATTTAGTTTCCTCGTCTTTGAGTAGGTTTTCTTTCGAACATGTGTTACTCATAAATTTAAGCGGTGTTGCATCGATTATCCCAGTATGACGATGAGCTTGGTTTGAATTCTTCTGCAAAGTTAGACGTCGCACTTCCTATTTTATTAAGCCGTCCAGAAGTAGAAATAATGGTAAGATTTTCGTAACTTCAAATATTTCCCAATTTAGAGTGGTACTATCACCCTTCACTTCCGCCATATCACGCTCACCTCTGTCGATGAAGCGTACAATTTCATAGCCGTTATTTGGTAAGATTCTCATTGCCATCCTGTGACTTTTTCCCAGCCATTTAACTTCTCAGTGCCTGTCACGATTTCTGGCGATGCGACCACCGCTTGCGGAACGCGTTCTTCAAATGCTGATAGAGGTTATTGAGTTGGCTGACCTGAACGGCAAATTGGTTAGTTGTGAGAATTTATTTTTGCATACAAAATTGAGCAATTGATTGATTGACGTGTTTGTTTTATAGGCTTGTGTTAGAGCTACGGTTAAATGGTTGGAGACTGTGACATCTTTGGGGTCCTCATATGTGTCCACTCTAATGGATAAAGTGTTTATGCTCGCGTCCAGGAGTTTGGAATGTTTTTCGTTTTTAAACGAGTCAGATGATCAATCCGTCATTTTATTCCATATGCTGAATGGACCGAACGACTTCGTTAAGACGTGTTGTAATCTTATAACCAGGGTCTTACTTGTTATTTCCTGCATAAATAATAATTGGAATGAGATTTCGGCTCAGTGCTTCATGGAATTATTTTTGGTACACAGTTCACTGTTGTATAATAATAGGCACTACTTTAGACTTGCAAATCTTGCCTTCTTAACCTCCCGAATCGAAAACTGCCCCACAAGAGGGATCTCGTGATGGCTTTAATGGATTTCTTTTGTCAAGATCTGGTTCACAATTCTGAACTCAAAAATATCCAGCTGGAATTATTCAAAACTCTTGTCCTTGACAAGACCATTTTAAAAGCCATATTACATGAAGATGCATCGGATTTTGATTACGAACACCATGAGACATTCAGACGTCAAGTATACCGTTTTGATCAGTTTCATGGAAATAGGCCGTCAAGTTCTTTTCTACCGGATTCGAACGGATTGGAATGGAGTCTGTGGATTCCGTATTATCTGAAGCCGGTTTAATGTTCCTCTCTGGAGAGCTCATTGATTGGTCTCGCCTGTCCTTGATAGTCTCAGCCTGTATTCAGTGTGCTGAATTTGGTCAACAGTAAGGCCGTCGACTTTTCTGTTCTCATTATCACTAGATGGAGAGAATCTGCATCGTCCTTGGTTGATCTTGTGCTTCCCATGTTGATGAAAACATTTATTTCTACAACTCTGGACGTGGATTCCAATTTTCGTGATCTAATTGACCGAATCAGTTTATTAATAACCATCTTCAGAGTTTCACTAGTTCACGATTTCATTATCGACTTGGATGAGAGAGGATTGAAGAAGTTGTGGAATTTTTTCAAGAACATTTCTGTAAGTTTTTTTCAAATTTAAGTAAATTTTTATCAGGATTTACCTGAGAAAAACGGCTTCCTCTTGGGAATTTCTCTGCAAGTTGTTGTGCTTTTGTTGGTATTTTCAAAGAAGAAAGGCTTTGAACTCCCGCTGAATTTTCTGCCAAAACTATTGAAAAAGGTAGCGGCGCTTGGAAATCTCCACTGGATAAATGATGCTTCAATGCGTGACAGAAATGTGTGGGGATCAAGCATAGTCCTGCTTATTGAGATGATATTAAGGTAGGTCCTTACACTACCAAGGCAAAGCCTTGATTACTGTTGATATTCGGTAAATCAACTTTAATTCTGCTCCTCTTAGTTCAGTTTCTACTCCTGGGGACGTTTCAGAAAAAGTGGTAAAAGGGATTTTTGAATTGGTGAAAACTGCCATATGCTTGACCTGGTCTCCAGCTGATGACAGGAATTGTGCAAGATGCTCGACTTATGAGTCCTCTATGTCCTGCTTCCAACCTCTCGGAATAGCCACCGTGCTCCAAATTATGAATTGGGGATGGGTCGATGATAATGCCGCTCAACCTCCGTGTGCTCCTTTATGCAAAATACAGCTAGCCTCACACGTAGCCCAACATATAACATGGGATGTTTGTAGCAGTGTGGACGTTACCAACTTCACAGAATTTGTCGTTGGATTGGTCAAAAAGGTTGATCCTTTATCTGTTACATTGCTAAGGTACGTTGTAACTTTTCTGATAAATGTTTCGTCAACTAAAGCTAGACCCTGATGTTGATAGCGTCCATTTAAGAAGCAAAACCTGTAACAACTCTCGTACGTGTGGCACATTTCGCTATAACTCTCGACATGGTTTTACAACTGATTTCATCTTACTTCCAAGATCTCAGTTTGATTGTTTTCGGTTGGGCTTAATTAAAATCCATTTTAGTTTCCATTGGAGACAAACACTTAAATGAGAGTTGTCTGTCAATATTTTCGTTATAAAGGTTAATAAAGTGTGTTTCTGGACATCTTTCCTTTATCTAGTTAGTTAAAAATGGCTTTGACATAAAGATTACTCCAAATTGATCCGCGTCCTTTAAAAAGAGACCTTCAATTTAACTAAGCGTCCCAAATTCATCACGCCTAACGTCTGATGGAATTATCTTGCCGTAAAGTACTTTACATGAGAGGATTTGGCCCGAGTGAGCATATATTCATCCTGTTCGTAGTTAAGCTCAATCGCTGGTGAATTTTATTTGCAGCGGTGTTTTCACTGAGCTCTGTGGCCGTCTCCTCCCCGAAGGCCCATCCCGCTGGGCTCCTCTACATCGTCTACTGCTTGACCGTCTCTCCATCCACGGCAGTGAGAACTCTTGCGCCTACCAGGAGACCTGCTTAGAAGTGGTGGGTGGCATTGGGAGGCAGTTGGCCAATGGGATTAAAAGCTTAGACCCTCTGACCACCAGCACGTCTAATGAATGGGACAGTTCATTTGGACGAATGAGCAGTAAAAAGAGCTCGCATAAAAGTTGCCGTGATGTTGAACTGTCCATATTACGAGTTTCTTGTGACAATGATGAAACTAATCCGGAGTTTCACTATTCCAATTTGATGAAAGATACCTTGGCAAGCATTTGTCGTCTTGGTTTCTCTAATTCCCATTCGCATAGTCTAATCGGCGAGGCAGCAGTCCAGGTAACTTCTGTCGTTGTCTTATCGAAATCAGGCAAACCCTAGAATTCCTTCCCATTACAATAGGCACGTAGATCTCTGGCTTTGTAAACAAGACCTTTGTGCTTTTTGCATTAAAAAATTAAAAAGAATTCTTTAAGTAGCTTGGCATTTTATTTCTGTGATTTGTCTTGCTTTTTTTCCTAGATTAGTAAGCTGTCGTCAAGTTTAGCATCAACGAATTTATCTATTCTGCGTGAAGCCAAACGACAAATTGCTCAAGTAAGTGAATTTTATTTAAATTTAATGTAAAATGGTTGAATTTACAAACACAGTTATTTGACTATCAGGTTCTCATAGAACATCTGGATCCTTCTGTTGGTCAGGCGTTTGAAACTCTTGCCCGAATTTTTCAATTGGAGAAGCTCACTGTAGTTCGGGTATGCTTATCATCTGGTTATAAATTCCTACTCTCATCGGTGCCAAGCTTTTCATGGCTAATTTTTTTTCAATTCAAACTTTGTTTCCATGCGGATATTAGTAGTCAATTGGCTTTTACAGAAAATTAAGCATTAAGTTTACTATTAAACCCACTTTTTGTTATTTTTTCTGATCTATACCAGTTCATTGCTGCCACGAAGTCGTAAATTTAAATTTCTTGGTCTTTACTTATGCCTATAATACTGCTTATAATATGCACTCCTATTCTCGATGCATAAATGTTCTCATCACTTCGTTGCCTAGGCTGTTAAAATACTTTATTAAACTATAGGAACTCACCCTGCCTCTATTCATTCTTCTCGTCGTCAAAGGAACTCAAGAAAGTCATCTGCGAATCAAACAGTTGGTCGAGCAGAGCCCAGGCTTAACCAGTACGGATAATTACATCACAAAGGTAGCACAACTCTGTATTTTGCCAGATGTCATCGTTCACATATACACCAGTCTTTCCGAGGATCAACGGACAAAAGCGCTGAAATTTCTCGAGGTGAGATCTTCTTATCTCAAAGCACAATAGAACACTGGTGTTTTTATTTTGATATCTGCGGCCCATACGCCATCGTTAGCAGATGGATCAGATATCCTATATAAATGTTGTTCTAGTTTCCTTTTCCTTTCTATGTACATTTGTATTCAACATTACATATTTTGGTTTTTGATAATTCCATATCCCATGCAAATATTGAATCTGATCAAAGTTATTCATTTGTATTTTATCACGTTTCAGTCACACCTCGATATTTCGATCGAACAAGTGGCGCAGATGAATGATGTCTCAAGACTGCTGCATCAGTTTGTCCTTAACCTGTACCCGCATCGCACAGAGGCCCGCGCAGGCCTTGCCTGGCTCGTCAGCAAGGCGATGAATCCTCTAGTTAAACCCCTTCATGGCCTTCTCTTGCAGCAGCACCATTCCGCCCACTTTCGCACCGAAGCTGCACTCCCAGATGTCTCATTCGAGAGTTTCGTGCGTCTCATTGGTGTTGTAGCAGTGAGGAAATCTTTGTAGGCTTATTTCAACATAATGAATCTGTTTTTGTAGGGTGAATATCTTCAGCAGCATTTGTGTGGTATTTTGGCTTTCTTCGACAGTCGTTTGCTGGATGACGAATGTCCGCTGGAGGAGCGGAGGCAGTACTTGCTAAGCTTAGCTATCTTTATGGACCTTGTCGGCAGCCAACCCGTGTCACGAATGCGCGCCAAGTTTATCGCCACTCTCAAGTAAGTTCTCAGCACTTACCCGAAGGTTGATGGTTTTATAATAAAACATTTTTTATCTTGGCATGACTGCCGTAAATAGGTTTAACCTCCAGTAATAGATTAACAAAATATCCCAGAGTTAAGAAGAGATTTTCAATTGACTAGTTTTTTTACAAAATGCTTATATTTATCGTCATTTCACTGTACCGGTTAGCCCTCCATCACACAGTTTGATTTCTTATTCGTTGGTTGATATAGTTCTGGCATTCAAAATAGCGCTATATTTGATTCAAAATCTCTTACGATGCTATTTGAACATTTCGGTTCCTGATTAACGATAAAGTTATCCTGCCCTTCAAGACCCCTTTTTGATTATCGTTTTGTTCTTTCCTCTTATTCTTCCTCCTCAGGCTCTGTCTTCGCTACAAGGTTGTTGAACCAAAGAACGTTGTCCAGCTGTGGGCTATTTTTCTCAAAACGTTAGTCGAGCAAATTTAATACGTCTAGTTTTATTACCCATGTGCTCACAACGTGTGTGTCTAATGCCTTTTTTCAGTTTGGAACGTGACTCTCTCATTGAGCTTCTTCCTGACATTGTGGCGAATCTGGTCAGTCTCTATCCCATCGCTCCTGATTATGTGAAAAAGGCCCTTTCAAGTGTCTTCATTAAGCGACGGTACTTATCCAATCACTTTATAGCTTGGTCGTATGTCTCCTTACTCAGTTCTAATGTTCTATCGTCCTACTTTAGAGGTCAACTTGAGGAGTCGATCAAACAGCTTTTCTTTCTTCCCGATTTGCCGGGTTTAAAGGACTTCCAACCCATACTCAAAGCCATCTGCCCCTGGTTAGCCTAACAGTTACACATTTTAATCTCCGAACTTACTTGTTTGGGTGTAATATTGTGATTAAATTGATCCATTTAATCTACTAATAATTAAATACCAGTGGATTATATATGTATGAATGAAAATAATCTGTTATGCCTTTTATTCTGCGGTGAAGTGATGAATTTTACTTCAAATTGAATTGGCACAACTATTACTGTACAAAATTGTACACTTAGACGAAATTCTTTGGTATTTTGGAGTGCTTTCAAAGTTACTGCAAGTGGCATTCTGCAGTGCTTAAGTTATTTATAAAGACAGTTAGTACCAGGGCCAGATACATCCGGTAGCCTGGTGATAACAATGCGAGTAGCCTGGACCCCTGCGCACGATTACCGATTTATTATCGCTTTGCCTGCTTACATTTGCTTTGTGAAATGTTAACCTTTCCGATACCGTCTTACAGGCGTGATCTGTGTGTTCCAAGCGAGGGCTACCTTGATCCCTTGGAGTTGCAATTACCTCCTCCCAACGATTTTGTCGACCTGCTGGCCGCGTGGGTTGGGGGACTCCAGCACTCCAGTCGGTCCGTTCGTCGCTACTGCCTGGCCTCGCTCGTACCGAGCTCTATTGGGGGTCGTCGTCACAATGGTGGTCTTATGGAGCTATCCCGACTCGTTGTCAGGGCCCTCCGCGCCCATCGGCCCTCTGCAATAGCATCCACGACCCACGAAGTGGCCGCTGATGGCACCTCTTCCTCCTCCATCCGAAACCTCCTCTCCAAGTTGATTACCTCCCTTATAACTGGTCTCACTCGCGATTCCGATCAGGATATTCGCCTACTCTATGCCAAGTGGCTCGGTGCCCTGGGAGCTATTGATCCCTCAAGGTTACACATTTCATCTGTTGTTTGTCGTGTAAAAGTGTTGAAAGATAAGGGGTGTTACCTTTTAAAAAGTAAACACGATTTACTGTCTTTTCTTTCATACGTTTTGCTGAATTTTTCTTACCAAACGGATTATTTGATTTTTGTAAACTGAAAAGCAGCCGTTTTTTACAATCTACTTGAACAACTAACGTACATCTCTTTTGCTTTGCATCATGATTTTCGAATTCAATTAACAGTAGACACCTAATACACCAAAGTTCTTTCTCTAATTACTGCTTACGGAATTTTCGCGTTATCTATTTCTCCATTCAGACTCACCTTGACACTGCGTACAATTGAAAGCAGTCCCACAGGGAGTATTCAAACCGCTTTTAACTGGGGTCATTCCTTCACTTTTGATGTTATTATGGAGCTTGCCAAGATTTACATGCGCGGCGCCAGTCCCAAGCAAATGGTGAGTTTCAAACTCCCTTCTCTCCTTCATCTTTGATACAACACGACCATTACTATCATTTTCGATGTATAGGATTCTGCAGCACTAGCGATTCAAGAGCTTCTGCGGTTGTTTGCGGTATCGGGAGCCTCGTCAAACACTGATACTGAAGTGCCGCAAATAAAGCGCCTCCTTTTGGGTCCAGAACTGTGGGCAAAGTTTTCACAAAGCGTACAGGATCTTCTTACGCCATTGCTTAGCTCAAAGTAGGCTTCTTATTCCACAAGCCTCTGAATATTCTATCTGTACCGAAGTAGTCTCTATTTGTGTGCCTTGCGGGTGCGGGATATTACCCTTTTATCCTCAAACGCCTTTAGGTGACCCGTAGGTAAAGCTACAAGAACTTGATAAATAGTTCTTCCGTTAGATTAATTTTGACCGTTGTAGGTCTAGGTATTTTACTTTATCCCTGATTCTCTTCCGTTTAGGTACGTAGTGGAAGGCTTCACTGATTGGGCTTCCATACAATCCCCAATATTTGGTCAAGATAGTTGCCAATCCTATGAAACGTGGATTCGCCTTTGGTCTGGTTCACTGAAAACCTATGTAAGTGTAAATTCTTGTCTAACGGAGTACACCTTCCTATGCCCCTTGATGTGCAATTCTTTTTTAGGTCTCTAACTCAATGGCACACAGCTTGTTTCAATTCTGCGAACCGGTTATAAAATCAGATGTTGAGTTTGCCAGATATATTCTTGACCCTATCGCCCTTCAAGTTGTAATCGACGGTTCTCAGATGGGCACTGTTAAGGTTAGTTCAAATGTGCGTTTATTCGTGGGGGTATGGACGTTATGTCTGTATGCTAATCACTCGCGTTTCGGACCGGGTTTTCAAGATGTCTTACTCTGTCAGGTTATTGAAATTAGTGATGTCGATTGTTATTAGCTACATTTTCAATACAACGCGTTACACAATTCTAGTGGTGTTTGCTAACATAAGCAAAGAACTGTTTGGATGAAAAAATGGGTATTTTGTATACTCTCTTGAAGGTTTGAACGACTCTAAAACCTATTTAAAAACTCGTACGATCCTATTATTCTTCCACCTTTTTAAGTTATTTTTTGATTCTATCTTAGCCAGCTGTATATGCAAAAAAACCAAATTCTGCCGCTATTTCATTCTTGATCTATGAATTTTGGTAGTTAATTAGACAGCACTCAACAATCTACGCAACTAATTTACTATGCATAAGAGTGTTGAGTGCTCTCATAAGACTTGCAGTTTTTTTGATAAAATGCAGCTGAGATCCGAAGTCTTGGCGGTCTTGGAGACGGTGGCGGATACCAAACAAGCTGGGAGGTACGCTGACAGGTTCCCCGCGGACTTCCTATTTTACGGCGATTCCAAACCAACCTCAATTTCCGTAAGCATTTTTAATGTTTTTCAACCTAACTAATATATTCGCAACATTCGTAAGTTGTAGAAAGCCGTAAATCTGTTCATATGTTCAAATTTCAATTTTCGTTACGCATTTTCTTTTTTTAACTTTGAAAACCTCCAGTTGCCAAAGTTTGTGCTACAGTGTCGATAAGCGATTTCCATTTTTCTGCAATGTCGTGTTTTTGCTTACAGTCTTGGTGATTTGGTTCTCAAGTTTTCTCTAAAGACCAGTACGAGACAGGTATCTCTTACTGACCGTTTGTATTTGTAACTGATGACTATAAGTGGGGATTGGTGAATCAAAGTCAAAAACACCGGATTTGGAGAAGCACAGTGAAGACACATTGACCCCACTGTAGGGTTTAAGTGCTTTTTAAGACCGCATATTGTTTGGCAATTCCGATTGTCATGGCCAGCACCGGATCTAAAGGTATTTACTAAATTAATCAACATTAACACCCCCCTGAATAGCCTCCGATGACGCGAAAGCTTTGGAAGCCGTGGTATCCACTAGCAGTAGAGACAGTTTTCTCCCTCCTTGACTACCTGAGTGCTTGGCTGCGAGCCAGATCTGCGGACTATGCCGTGGTGGTCGCGGCGATTGCGAAAACCACTGATCGCAGACCCAACGACACCTTCAAGCCTAACGTGGAGGAGAGGGCCCTTCTCACCGAGCTCCATTTAGGTTCGCTTCAATACTGACCTCCTTATCTCACTGGTATACGATAAAGTCTTTGGCAGCTCTCATAAAATCTATTACATTCGACGAACAGAACAAATCAATAGGTTGACTACCTGGCAAACACGTTTTTGTATCCTTCTCAACCGCTTATCCTCGTTAGGGTCCCAATTCAACACAATCATTATTTGTCTTAGTATCATATGACATCAGGTATTATTGCATGGCCTCTTCATTAACTACTGTGTTTTGTTCATGGTAACCTCTTTATGAATATTAATTTGGATAGTTTTTGCCACTTCAAGGGACGAAGCAGCCTTTATCGCAGGTGATACTCCAAGAAATGTGTTATTCAAACCATTTATCTTTGCAATTAAGTAAATTTATTTTTTAGAAATCCTAAAGTATTATTAAATCCGATAGCGTTACTGAATGCCACGATGCAAACTAACTTTTTAACTTAGAAAATTATCAGTGCGAAACGTCCAGCCTACAATTAGCATTTCGATCAATACTTAAGTTGTAAAGCGCAATCTCACTTTGTTCTAATGGCTAATAATGAAGACAACTTGATCTAACTGAGCCCTACTATTAGAATAAACAATAATAAAGACGTTAATGTGAAGATAAAGAGAATCTTAATGCTTCTTTACTTTTCCTTTTGATCCCCTTGTAAGCGGTTACACGAATGTCGGAGTTCTTCGACTCCCTTCCGCACTCGGTGCAGGCGCGAGCAAGTCGTCGGATAGGGGGGCTGGCACGCACCCTGCGAAACTGGGAATTCTCCTTCGCCGACGACGAAGTCGCTCACAAAGCCTTCTACGTTAGCGGCTTCATTGACCGCCTCGAGGCTCCCGCTGGTCCTCTTATCAGTGATATGGGAAAAGAGAGTCTCATTGGCCTTCTGGAGACCCTCACTGCTCTTCATGACACTGACGGTGAGATGTGTGTGCAAGAAAGGAGTGTTTCACGTTTTAAACTTTTTTTTATTGATTCCGCTTTTGTCCCACCACTACCTACTTTAAGTCTGCCACTTCAGATTCGCCAGCTATGTTTGCCTATTTAGTAGCTCAAACACCGTGAAAAATTTGAAGTTAACTGGAATATTGATGTCTTGTAAGCATTCCTTTATCGAAGTTGACCGTGAATCTAATTGAGAATGCAGGTATCCGAATAGGCATGTCGCTTTCTACCGTACATTTAAAAGCTTCTATTATGTTCGGACATACTGATCAAGATGGCTTGTGTTGTTGTATTCCTCCCGAATGGGATAATTTTAGGCCTCACGGGTGTTTTGGCTCAAATGCAACACACTGGTATCCATCCGTCGTCCAAGTCGATCGCGACGCTGACTAAACACGACTCCATCCGTAGTTCCCTTGTGCGAGCACTGCAGTTGGAGAATGAAGACCAACTGGAGATGGCATGTGCCAACTACGAGCACGTTCTGTCCACCGCCCAGAGCAATGCCCAAGCCTGGGGCCTTCATGTTGGTCTCTTTCGTTGCCAACTACCTGATCCCACGTGCCTGCAGGCGCTAATCGCTCGAACCGACGCTCTTCTTGCCTCACATCCCTGCGGTAACGCCGACAACATGGCGTGGGCGCGACAGTTAAATGAACTTCGTGTGGAGGCGGCTATTCGACTTGGTGACTGGGATAAACTGGACCAGGTCATGGCTTTAGTGAGTCAAATTTTCACATACGGAGTTCCGAATAAGCTCTACGGAGCTCTCTACCCTCTACTTGGATCAATCCGAACCTCATCTGACGATGTATTCAAACAGTTTCGCAATGAAGTACTACTGGGACCCTTGTAGCATTTGTTGCATAGAAATATTGGATTTCTTCTGGTGCAAAAGAAACGTGCATTTTTCAGGAATCATCGGAATTATCCTGGCCAGTCGGGCTTGCCAAGGTGCTCCTCTCGATGAAGCAGGGCCAAGATGAGGTCAGTTTCTTCAATTTTTTAATGGATTAGTTGGCAAAAACTTTCCAAATTGCTTTCAATGAACTCGTTTTTTCCATTACCCAATAAGGAGCGGAGCGACAAACTCATTTTTCATTGGAAGGTTATCTTAGAATAGTTATTTTTTTGTATCGACCTGATAGCACAACCTTTGATATTGAACACACACTGATTCGAGTCGTTTTGCAATAGCATATCTGTACTATGAGATTGCTTATTTTCTTGCAACTAATTCAGCAGCTAAACACACCACAAACTGAAACGTTTTTTTTTCTCTTCTTAGGTACGACGCAACCGGTACTTGGATAATTTCATGGATGAATTGCGTCTGAGTCAGATGACTGTTCTCGCCACTTCCTCTTTGGAGGGTGGTAGCGGTTACCTGCGAGCCTGTGAACCACTCGTTAATTTGAGTCTCCTTACAGAGGTCGAAAGCATTATCGATTTATCCAATCGTTTGACCAAGGAAGTGACAGCTGTCAGCGAGCTGGGTTTGCCCCGATGTCAGAAGAACTCGGATGTGTGCTTCGTATTCTCCCTTAACAAAATCATTTCTTTAAACATGTTTTCTATGACGTCGTAAGGTTTCTTTTTTTTAATTGTATAGCTACTCGTGAGCAATCTGCTGTTGTGGCTTGATGCTCGTGTGCAGCAGTCCAAACCGACGTTTCATACATTGGAACCGGTTCTTGCCATGCGCCACGCCGCTTTGCAACTCATCACTTCCCGTCTCAAGGCGACCCCTCCTTCCTCCAACTCCAGCCTCGGTGACCAACTTAGGGCCCACCAAACACGTCTCCTGGACTCCGCTCTTGGTGATAGCTGGCTGCAGCGAGCGAAATTGGCAAGAAGGTATGTACATTTTAACGGACTCATTATGGATCGCCCTCACTGAGTGGTCAGCTAACTAGCCTGCAGTTGCCGTTGTTCACAACTCGCCTTTACATCTTGTGCCACAGAGCCGGACAGTGTATGGCGGCTTACACATGTGTGTTGAACGCGGAGTGCCAGGGCAGTGCGGGCGCACTGACAGAGCGAGCGAAGCTACTGTGGCAGTCGGGCAAACGCGAAGCCGCACTAGCCTCTTTGACTGAGGGTCTCAAGGCCCTCGCCTATGCCTCCGTCACTTCCCCATTTTCGCCACGCAACCTCGCCCAGTCCCTCGCCATGCCCTCGCCCCACTCCAAGCCGCGCGTCGATAGGGTACTCGACACTAAATTTTTACTGCAGGTAAGGCACTTTATTCACGTTATTGCGAATGGAAAGCATGAAAAAATAGTTAAATAAGTCACCATATTTAGTCTCGGTCAAATATTTTGTTCTACTGAGATCTCTATGACATTCACCTGACGCTTTCGTGTATTTTTTTGCTTCTCTGAACATGTTTTGTGGTTATCTTTATAACTTTTGCTGTAGTGACTTCGATGAAATTAATCAAGTCAAAATTGATATTCGGTTGGTGCTGTAAAACAGCCAAGTTCATACAAAGCGGGTGCTGTGTTCCCTGAGGTTTATTTTTGGAAGTATCAGAAACAACTCACTCTAATTGGAAGTAACCGTTACTTTCGATATCAAAATGTAACAATACGTAGGATAGCATTGACGGCAGCCTGATAGTGAATGGCATTTCGGTGGCGCTTCACCATGAGAATTATATTTTTTGTTAAAAGTCAGACATCGACATATGTGTCGCTGTTATGGTGTCGAGGATAGTTGTCCAAATTCGGGGGAATTCATGTTACTAATCTTGTACTTTTACATTCTAACAAATAGTAATAATATTTTTGTCATGGACTCTACAATAGTTTAAAGAACCACACTTTAATTACGAAATGGAGATTTTGGTTGAAATCATTGATAGCCCGAGGAGACGGGATAAATGGCAATGAGGAAATTCATTTTCATGTTCATTTCCGAACTTTTCAAAGTACGGAAGGAGGATGAACTTGGGGTGGCTTTTCATGTGTGGCCTCTGCAGTGTTCGAGGCATCCCTCAGTAGGTAATGAGGCATACCAGTTTGGAGATAGACTTATTACAAGCGTAAGAAGGGGGTGAGAGACCACTATCTTGGCCAACACGTCATCATGAAGGTCTGGAGCGCAGGAGACTTCAAAGGCCATTGTAATCGAATGCATAACTCAAACGAATGCTCTTTTGGTACATCTTGAAAAATGACTTCCGACTGCTTCCCTATCCACCAGGCTTTGCTACTACACGCGCACTATTGCGAGGAGACAAGTCGGTTTGACTTTGACACAACACGGCATCTCTACTCGGACATTTGCGAGGCATTCCCTGGCTGTGAAAAGGCTCACTTCCGTCTTGCTCACTACGTAGATGAGGCGCGGAGCCAGTCAGGAAATCAGCATGAGTAAGTAGCATCTTCCGTTTTTCTTCACATATCGCCGTCTTTTTAAGAAATACTGAGCGTTTTCGTTTGTACAGTGTTCTGTTCAAAGTTGCTCTGGAAAACTACGGTCAGGCTTTGGCCTGTGGAAGTCAATTCATTTTCCAGTCCATGCCTCGGTTCCTTTCTCTCTGGCTTGATTATGGTGCGGAGGTGGCGAAGATGCAACAACGGCAACAGCAGACCTCAGCCGCGTCCATCGGTCGTCGTGGCACCAATCAAAAATCTATCGAATCCAATATGTTGAACACCTTTAACGAAGTCCAAAATGTGAGTTCTACCCATATATAGTTAGTATATCTTAATTGTAAGATTGCTAAACTTGAGGTTCTTTCGTTTTTGCTTAGTTGATGCGACAAAGTCTGTCAAAGATTCCTGCATTCCAGTTTTATACGGCGATTGGGCAAATTTTGTCTCGTGTTTGTCATGAGCATCCGGCAGTTATTACAATGCTGATTGATCTGATTGTTCGCATTGTTTTGGCCCACCCACAGCAGACTATTTGGTCCGTTGTTTCACTGCACGAAGTGAGTCCGTGATGCTCCGTTTCTCTCTCATAATGTCTTTTTGATCATAATTTTACTTTTCCCTTAGGCATCCGTCTCTCAAAGACACGAACGGTTCCAACAGATATGTGCAGCTATCAGGTGCACCCCGTCTATTATATCACACGGTCATTTAACCGGATTACCCAGCTTAATTCATCCTATGTTTATTCATTTCTAGGACTCAACAAAAGCCACTATATAAGTTTATCTCGGTATGTTTTGCTTTCACAAAATCCCCTTTGATTTCATAATGCAAGACTGAACTCCGTTCTTATTGTAATGCCTCGGAATATTTAAATTTTATCTGTCATTTTTTTCATCTCTAACTCCTTCATAATGTGTTAAGTGTCAAAGTTATGGCCATTGGAATCCACGACCGTGTACTCACCACGCTCTTATCCGATTTTGACAAAAATTGTCCTCTTTCAGGACTTTGTGGGTTTGTGTGGCCACTTAAGAACAATTAGCGACCTCTTCTTATCGTCCGATCGTCGGGATGTGAAGTCTTTCAAAATTTCTCAGGTTATCCGTCCCTTCACTCGACTGCTCGAAACATGGTAAGCCGCAAAGGAACCACTAATTACAGTCCCTCTCCCATCCTTTACAACTTTCTTATCTATACAAATGAGCAAGTTAACAACCAAATGGTAAGACGTGCTTCCCCTTAAACGCAAAGCTTGATTTTCCTCTACTTCTTGCTCATTCATGCGAATCACATTATGAACTACACTCTATTTTCTGCCCCCGTTGATAAGCCTTGTGAGAGGTAAATGTATAATAATTTATGCTTTTAGTCCATAGCTTGCGCTTTTTTCAGACCGCACTCGGGAACAGTTAATCCCATACTTTAAAATGTATTCAAAAAGACTCAAGCTTTAATTTAATCGCTAATTACATTTCCTGTCCACGTTTAAGAACTTGAGTCTTTTGTTAATAACTATTACATCCATTGGTAAATTGCCACGAGAAAACTCGCTGATTAGTTCAAATCTTTGGAATGTCAAATTGATCGTTGGTTTCTTATGCACTGAATATCAATAAGGTTTTGTGAATTTTAGCGGAAAACTAATTTTATAGTATTCTCTTTAGTTGTCTCTAAGACGTGCATTTAAGAGACCCCTTATTACGTATCATACATAGCCCTTTTCTCCTGCACTATAGTGTCCAAGTCTCTTCCAATTACACTGTCATCAGTTTTGAAGTAAATTCGTTGTCAGCACACAGGATGTCGAGAAGTTATTGATATAGGTGATATGAACTACCACTGATAGAGGAAAAGGTCTCCAGTTAACTATGCGATTAAATCCTATCTAATTCTACTGCAACCTCTCACTACCCTAAGTGATCTCTCGAATGTGCTGATTCCGGTACATCGTCAGCTGGTACCCTCTTTGCTTCGCCCGCACGCCTCCAAGGAGGAGATTGAAAATCACCAGCCCTTTGGAGCGACCAGTCGGTTCGTGTGTCTGGTGCGTCTCTACGACGATGTGGAGATCTTAGGTTCACAAACACGACCCAAGAAGATGCGCTGGCTCGGCAGTGATGGCCGTCGATACATTATCGTGGCCAAACCGAATGTGGGTCGGCTTCTCCTGTTGTCACCCCCACTCTTTTGCAAAGCTGATTCATATGCTTCTAGGTAGTATTTTGGGAAGCACTTTTACTCCACTCGAAGCGTGGAAATTATCAAGCTCTTGAGTGTGGTTAATTGCCAGCACCCGGAGGAAGTACTGTAATAGCTCACCTTAATTATTGTGAGATTTTTTATTCTGAGCTACAAAAACAGGAATACCATTCAATTTCCCTCATAGCCATTATCTTCATAGCATATTTCACAAAAATTCTTGCCGGTCAAATGATACACTTGGCGTCTTGGACAAGTTGTCTGTCTGGCACTCAACAATGAATGTAGCAATTAGCCTTCAATAGCTGCAGCAGCTTGAAAATGCTTGCATTGTTTTACCAAAATATGGTTTCTGCGTCTGATGCGGTCTCATCTTGTTGTTCATAGGATGATATGCGGAAAGATAGTCGTCTCATGGATATGAATAGCATTATTAACAGGTTTTTGATGAGGAATCCACAAACTTGTCATCGCAGTTTGGGAATTCGAACTTATGTACGTTTCTCACTTATATTTTCTGTTATATTATAATACCGATTCTTGCAGGCCAGGCTTTAAGCTATTTTATCTAACCTAGATTTTTGATTACGTAAATTCCTGCAGCAGTTCTTTTCACAAAATTTTGAATTTTGAATTTTATGCATGCCTGGATTTGTGCAAGTGTCCTAACCCAATTTGTTATGCCTGCCTTCTACCCTGTTTGGTCGGTTCATAAGGAAAGAGGATCACTCCTTCCCATACATGGATTAATTTATACCGTTTCATGCAAAAATGCTGTTTATTGACAACTGAAGCAGCGTTGACCTATGCTGATTAGCGCATTTATTTGAGTTAGTTTGACTTATATGACGGTGTGCCACAAAATATCAAGGGAGTATTGTCAGAATTTCAGGTTTTCGAGTTGACTGAATTACTTTACTTCCCGCAGTTATTCGTTTCAATAAAGTAGGTTGTTTAACGTAGTTCTTTTTTATCTGGCCTAAATAGGGTGTAATTCCATTGAAAGAGCACGGTGGACTCATTGAGTGGGTCAGCAACACGCAGCCGTTTCGCAACATTTTGACGTCTCTCTACGCTGAAATCGGGCGACCTTTTAACTGGGTCACAATGAATCGTTATGCTCCGCTTCTTGAGGACTCACTTGAGTAAGCTCGTTTCCCGCTCCCTGCTTCTCGAACATCGATCTCGACGCATCACAGTCGACGTCTTTTAATCTACCCTATTTTGATGCAAAGCAAACTCACTTATTCTTGCCCGGATTGCCGTGTTTTATTTGTTCCTTTAGAGTGAAGAGAGAAAAGTTCCTGAAGAAGCTTCTCCCTATGTACCCACTTGTTTTCTATCGTTGGTTCATAAATGTTTTCCCTAATCCGAGTGAATGGTAAGCCGTCGGACCTTTTTTCACATTCATGCCCTTTGTAGAGCCACTAGCAATGCGTTTACCTGTGGCTCTCCCGTAGGTACGAGGCAAGAGAGACGTATGTGCGCACCTGTGCAGTGATGAGCATGGTGGGATACGCTTTAGGCCTAGGCGACCGTCACACGGAGAACATACTATTCGACTGCACCACGGGAGGGCTGGTGCATGTGGACTTTAGCTGTGTCTTCAACACGGGCCTCACCCTGCCGTGGCCGGAACGCGTGCCTTTCCGGCTAACGCGCAGCCTCGTGCACGCCATGGGCCCCACAGGCTTTGAGGGCACCTTCCGGCGCTGCGCCGAGGTCACAATGCACCTATTACGCCGTGAAATCGATCCTCTCATGGCTGTCTTCCGACCCATCTACTTCGATGCCCTTGTTGAGAAAAGTTCCGAGCCTAACGCGCCAGCCGAGGCCGGTAATTCAGCCCTCGTTTTACCCGTTGTAGTTAATTTGGCAGTCCTGACCAGTCTAGTTTTACCGTTGATTAAAAATTTCGTTCTTGTCATTCGATTATCAAACAATAGATGTTTAGAAATCTGCCGCAATACAACCATTTTTTAAGGCAATGTATTGTTCACAGTGCAGGCACACCTTTTAGCAGATCTTTTTTGTTTCAACAGGTCACCGGGGTCGTAAGGGAGGGCATGAGTTGCCCTCTGAGAACAAACTAACGCGTTCAGCAATCGAGAAGCTCAAAGGCATGGAGGATCGTCTTCGGGGCAAAATCACTGAACACGATGACTTTAGCAAACTCCTTCCGATGTCCGTCGAGGGCCAGGTATTTATCGCACTTTGTTTATTCTGTGTTTGATGAGAGTTTAATTTTTGAGATGGGTTTATTCGTACGTGGTGGTTTGCTACCTCTTTTTCACAGACTATCGTATGAACGACGCTTCTTATTCTTGTCAATTGGGAGCTTCAAGGGCCTCTATCGTGAGATTAAGTGAAAACTCTGTGGAATTCAGGCATTTTGAAAAGTTAGACTCGGGCTTTATATGCTATCCCGTGTTCGCTAGCCCTAACATATGGTCATGTCAGTCGAATGAAATGTGAGTCTGCTAAGTGGTTCGTGTCCATTGGTACTGTAAGTGCTTGAATGTCAAGGCGCAACTGTTCCAATGCACGTTTCCTTTCAGAAATTAATTCAACCACCACCTTGGAATAATGTTTCGAATGCACTCAGATGTAGCATTGTAGATGAGGAACTCGTACAATTTTATTTTTTTTTCTACACTTCACACCAAACCAGACTGTCCTTCAATATAAATGCTCACTTGGAAATGAGAAAATGTTGCATTTGCCTGCAGAGAATAAGCATTCACAACATTGAAAGCAATAACTGTCAAGTATGGTCGAGGTTACAGGATTGTCTTTCGCGCCAAATAGTTGTAAAAATGGCTGCTTTATGTCTCTGCACAGATTACGTCCTTTAGTGGGGTTCGTTAACATGTCAACTCCACGTTGATCGGGTTCCTTTGCTTTACTGTTGTAATACGATGTAGTGACGTAACTTGTTTGGAAATAATATGCCCTACACCTGATTTTATTGTCTGAGTAATGGTTTTCTGACTGTAGATTGATTGACTTTTGCGATTGCGAAATTAATGCTCCGTAAAACGTGGCACACTTTTTAGGTGGACGTCCTAATCAAAGAGGCAACGTCAGTCGATCGTCTTTGTCAAATGTACAAAGGATGGATGCCATTTTTGTAGATCAATTTATAGATTGTGTAAAATTTCCTAATAAAACACGCACCGTTATCATTTCGTACTTGTTTTCATGCCAATAGTTTCTTGGATGCGATATTTACTTCCTTATTACAAACAAACGCTAATTAAACAAATTACTTGAGTAGGTTACATGCTTTAGGTAGAATCTTTGGCTCCTCCTGGGTAGTGTATTGTGAACACGTGCATTTGCATAGTTCCAGTAATACTCAAATACTTAGTGTAAGTATTTGAATGTGTCCTTATTTGAGCCCTATTTACACCTGCCTCTGTTTCGTTGATAAAAGCGAACGGCTGCATTCCCATGCAATGAAGTCTGACTTTTCAACAAAATTAATTCGCTTATCGAAAGACGTTTATCGTGTAGGTCTGGCGGTTAGAGAGCCTTGTCGAATTACTCGCCCTCTTATTGCCACCGTAGTGGGTTAAACCTCGTTCTCTGAGCAGCTCAGCCCCCACGGACCCCATTTCCACGTCTAATAAGTGTTATCCCGATACTGCACGCATATGTAAGGCAGTCACTCTAAATGATCTTTAGTGGACAGTGAAAAATCGTGACTTAAGAAATGTGTCAATTTTAATATAACAGGGTAATTGCTTAGCACTCAGAATTGCTTTCTGCTTCTGTTAGATTTTTCCGGAAATTAACATTTTACTTCCACTACTATGAGTAAAATAACAAAGAATGGGGAATTGTACCTCTTATTTTATCCATTGTAATGCCGATGGTGGTTGTGGTGCTTGGAGTGTACGAAATGAGTTTGGAATGCGTTTTCTTGTCTTCATCGGTATTCGCATTTTATGCAACCGTGCTGCTCAACGTAGATTCAGTCCCAATAACTCCCTACAGGTCCGCAAGCTTACCGAATTGATAAATAGTACTCTTTTTTGGGTATTCTCGGTTATGTTGGTCATTTCATGCAAGTGCTATTTTGGATGTTTTTTGGTTCCTTTTCATTATGTTGGTAGAGCTGTCAGACTTAGTTCATACTGAGAGCAAAATCCCTAAAAATTTTCATCTTTGGGCAAACCCCAAGGCCCCTCTGTTGGATTGGTCGACCAGACTAAACAAAGAATTCGGACGCTAAAACATACTAGCTGCTTGTTTAAAAATAGTAGAATGACTTCCTCGCCAACCCACCGGTAGCACTTGCTGTTGATAATTGAAACTACCCCTTCTGTTACAATTTGAGTTTTCAAAATTGTTCTGCTGGGCGTTTTAAATAGGCGCAACCCGGAAAAAAATGAGGGGAGAGGAAAATCACAACATTTTACTAATGGGGTATCGCAGAAATTGATAGTGGAGACAAAGGAAAAAATAAATACGAGTGTTTTGGGGAATAAACTGGGACTCTCGTACCCATATATGTATATCGCGCACTGTTCACAAACAAACTGGTCATGAACGAAAGCGAAAATAATCAAGGCTTGAAACACTGTGAGACAGCAGGGAACAGAGAAGGAAAGAAACGGATAATAAGGTCGTGATCTCGTTAAAGAAATGCACCTCCTCAATTTATTCCCCATAGTAGTATGAACACCATAGGTCTGTTTGCTTTGGAAGTGGTGATAGCGGTGGCGACGAGGGAAAGTGGATGGGCAAGAGGAAGATGTGAGAGTCAAAGGAGTTGGAGAGACATTCTTTGGGAGGCCCTAGGTACTGCAATCCGGACAGACTACAGCGCCCTCCTCAACCAGGAATCCACGACCCACCAGACTTGAATTACATTTGCTGCAATTGAAGCACTCGGAATGCCAGTTCTTGTCCTCGAATGTGATGAACTTACAGCCTCCGAAACCTTAAAAGATAAGGCAGTTATCTCATACTGCACCCTCTTCCCGCTTCTGAAACAGTTCACCACAGGTTTTTTTCTAGAGCTTGCTAAGAATGTCAATGTAAAAAGCACGGCTTTCGCAACAGCATTGTTTTCATTTTCCTATGAAAAGTGGAAAACCACACACAACCGCATTCTTAACGGATGATTTTCCTAAATTTCATTATTTTGTGGGATAAAATTGATGAAAACTTTCATTTTTGTCACTATTGCGAGTATTAAGGAGTGAATCCTCGTTCGTATACGTTTCTAGGTTACGAGTTTATTGTTGACACTTGTTAAATGCCCTAAATTACAATATCCAAAAATAGTTTCCTCTTGGAGTAATGTACTGCCACGCTTTTGGAAGGCTTAAAGAATCTCACAGATAGTCATAAGGTAAGGTTCTTGAAATGTGGGAATTAGCCCACGCACGTGCCCCTCAACTGTTTTAAGTACGAATGCGTTCCATTTCATGTCTCACAGCAGTTCTGAAACTCGGCGATATATGATAGCACTTTGGCAATGGTTGGCGCCTGTTCCGACTTTGTGGGGCAAAAATCGCTGAGAGAATAGAACTCTGTTTCTTCTTTAGGGGATGTTGATTAACCACATCAGGGTGAACTTGTTTGCGCCACCCTTATTTGTTTCCACATTTGGTGCTGGGATTAAGTTCACGTAGGGAGCGTCTTGGTTAAACGCAATACAAAACGTCCCCTTTTGTCTACTAAATTGCATCCCGTGTACATCGATTGAAAGCGCAGTTTCCAATGTTAAAAGAGCCAATCACAATGTCCAAACAATTTATTTACCAAATGTGCACTTTTTGACAGCCAGCGGTTTCTGTCGCCGCCGCTGTCACCTGATCCAATTTTGAAGTAATATTCTTCAGTTAATGGAAGCCATCAAAAATAAGAAAAATGCTAATTCATACTTTTGGGTCCATGCAATTTTCTCCTTATTGATACTATCAACTGCCCCTAATACGAATTCGAGCTTGACGTCCTAGGGTAGAGAATAGGACCGATGCCCAAACGTTGTATGATTTTTGTGGCAAGTTCGCATATTAGCATTGCCAAGGAAGCAGGCATAGTACCAATGACACACTACTTATACCATATTACCTTTAACTGTTAGTATTTATAGCTGTAATCTGTCTATTTTAATTCATATTAAAAGGGAAATATCTTCCAATTTACACTTTTACAAATCATTCTTAGCTGCTTTTTGTCAAAATCCATTTGAATTAAGTCGTCAGTGGCAGTTCCCATAAAGGTGAGCCTTGGCAAAAACATTAGCTAACTTTCCTGTTTGTGATTACTTTTTATCCATAACGCCGAGTATATTTTGAAAACAGCTAACCTGTTCTTAATTGAGAGGCGAGGAAACATGAGTACCTTCATTATGATCTTAAAAAATCAAATCCATGGTAGGTTCAGGAATGCTAATTAGTGGCTGACAATTCGTAATTGAGTGTTCTGATTTTCTAGGTTGCAAAGGAATGTTTCGCAGGTTTCAGTTGGGATTAGATTAGTTGGCATATTTGCGGGTTAAAATGTCATTGTTTCGGTTCTGAAAACCAAATCATTGCATTGCTCGCTAACAAACGCAAATCACTGAGTATTAAAATAAAGAACAAGTAAATACTTTGAAAGTGGCGACCAGTTGCACCCATCCGTTTTTGTTTCGTACATAGATTGAAACCACGAGAAATTGCAGGAGGCGGAAAGTAATCGTAAAGCTAATTTACCTCTGCACGATTGGCTAAACACCTGCGATCACCTTTTCTGCAAAAGCGAATCGCTCACAACATACATGAGAAACAAACAAGCCACACTTCCTCAAGAAAAATCAGTAACGACTAAAAAAGGACGAACCGAGTCGATTTTAGTGTAGCTTCGATTCACTGAATGGTATAATGGTAGTCCATTATATTATATATATTATTATATTGTTATAAGTCACTCTTCCAAATCTTATCTAGAAGAAAACTGCTTCCTCTTTCTTCAAACACCACCATCTGCGAAAGAAGAAATGAAGCATATTCACAATGGTGCAGGCTTCAGGCAGCACAGTAGCTTTCATGGCCTCGCATTTCCTGCTAATCCTCGAATTGTGTGGACTTTGCTATACAGGAGTTTAGACAGGGAGTTATACTATGTGGATGGTGGAAACTCCATGCCACTAAGATGTTTTTTATCGGTGTGCCTTCCTGGCATCATACAGCGACTGCGTAAGAAAGCACAGGACATGAGCATGTAATTCTTGCACGCAATTGTTTACGCAATCCGCAGGAAATCGAGCGATTCAGTGGAAGATAATTATTAAAGGTAAAAGCCTAAATTGAATCTACTGATGTGGTTTTTCAACACATCATTACCACTTTAAAATTACAGGCTCCAACGGTGAAAGCATGTGGTTAGTGAATTGCGTATGTAGATCTAATTATTGTCAGGTTCTAAAATAGGTAATTACTTCTTCCTCGACTGCGTTTATATTGGCTTAGGATCCATCAAATGCTTTGGCATTATTCATTAAAATACGATAGGCGGTTTTTATCATTGCTCATTTTACAACCAATTTGAATAAATAAACGTATCTACTTTTAGATTTTACCATCGAGCACCCTTCTTCGGTCATCGTAGCCATTCATTCTCAATGAAGTGGAGGATCTAAATCCTAATTTCTCGCTTCTTCGGATACATTCTTAAATCACGTCAATGACAGTTAAATTTTGCATTACTGAAGCGGAAATGTAACGCAGACGTTTCTTGATTATATTGCCACTTGAATGTGTAAAACGTCTGTGCAAATGGGCCACTTATATTGTAAGCACTTTAACCATTAGATTTTGTGCAGTGAAGGTATTAGCAAAAAAATGGTACATAAAACAGTTCACTGTTGACGGAATTTATTATTTGAATCACTTTAACAGACCATTTGTGCTTCGAAAAGGCTAGGAAATGAAAGGCAGTGCTGAATATTCAATGTAAATTTTTTTTTCCAAATACCCTAAGAATTTCATTGGAAGAGTGTGAATATCAACGTTTTAGGTCATTGGGTTTATGAACTTTTAAGAAATTAACGACCA